CTGCAACTAGGTATTAGGTATTTCAGGCCAATTTTTACAAACTACTCGGCATCCCTGACTGACAAGCATGACCCCAAGAAGATCTTCGCCAGCAAGCCACTATCTACGAAGTCGTTAAAACTCTAGAACTGCATACGTGAAAAACAGTGCGGACCACAAGAGACCGGTCAAAAACATCAAGGGGCTGTGCGCTTAAAAAACAAATTGAAAATGTATATCAAGATCCCCGGTCAGAGTGCTGCCGACGGGTGCGCAGGTTTTCGGTCAGCGGCGACGCGTTCGCGGTTCTGAGAAAAACCACTTGACTGCCGCATGTAGTCCGCGGGCCGTGTGTTTTGCGGCTCTGCTCCAGTAGCAATAAAACTCTAAGTGGTCGCTGTATCAACGTTTTGGAAGTCCGCCAGCCTGTCTGTCTCCTTTTTAATTGGCATTGACTATTTCTGTTGTTGATATGACAAGCACCAGAGGTCTGGTAACATTTCAGCACAGAAACAAAACCAAGAAGTGAAAGCTAAAAGAAAGGTATAAGATTTCTTTTATATATGAAATTTATACTGACGGTGCCCTGCGCCTGGTATGTAGCATGTGTTACGAATGTATTCAATTCACAAATGGCATCACAGTGGACTGGCAGCAGGAAGCGAAGAAGAGTCGTCTGCATTTTTGTATGGGGTTTTGGTGCCTCTAGTAGCAAATATGTGAAGCAGGCGCAACGACGACGAAGCTTGGGAAAGTCAACCACTGGGCAGGCATTATCAGTATAAAAGAGGCTATGGTAGAACGCAAGCAAGTGGGGACTTCACTTTGTGCAGTGCTGTGGGTCAGTAGAGATAACAGATAAGAAGTGTGTTTGATTTTAGCTATTCAATGACGTCTCCGAGTTTTACCTCGTGTACAGGCGTATTAAGAAAAACAGTAATTGCAAAAAGGTATACTCTGTCAACGGACGCACAAAACAAGTAACAAACTTCCTGACCCAGAACACTAATGTAAAGGTGCGAGCTCGGTGTATGCATACTTAGTGGTTGTTATAACGCGTTGACTCATACACAAGCAAGATCCCTGAGCTTCACAGCGTCGAGATTACAAGCACTGGATCGTCCACCACACCTAGAAACGCTAACAGAAAGGCTCGAGTACAAAAATACAACACGCATGTGTCAAGGTAAACTTTACATATATGGTTAGGGCTTGTGCTAAAGCTTCGTGGTCTGGCCATTTAGTTCAGTTTAGAGACCAGAAACAACGCACTCGGTATATAGGAAACACGAGATAACGGCTGTTAATAGTCCGCGCTCTGTGTGTCATCTTTTGTCGACGTATCGATTGAAACCAAAACCATGCCACTCTCCTCCCTGGCCAACTAGTTCCCAAAGTGAAACACATGCAGTGTTGCAAGCAGAGATTTGTGGAAGTAGTCTTCAGCTTCCCCGCTAAATTAAGCGGGGAAACCGATGTCCCATGACTGTGTCATATCATCCAGGAACCAAATTCAGTTTTTCCGCTATATTTAGCAGAAAAATTGATGCCACGTGACCTCAACACCAATTCAGTTTCCCTGCTAAATTTAGCAGGGAAAACGACATCACACGACTTCGTGTCACATCACCCATGAACAAATTCAGTTTCTCAGCTAGATTCAGAGGGAAAACTGATGTTACGTGACCTCAACACCAATCTGAATTGTACAGAGGAGGCGGCGCATACCCTCCCCTCCTCCTCTTCAAAAGCTGCACTCTAATTTCGCAATCCATAGATTTGCAAACGTCTTGCACGTTTTATCATGCTGAACACAAATTTTGGTCGCAATAACGCTGTTTCATGCTCTGTGAAGAATATTCATTTATAAAAGACTGACTATTTTATGGACACAAAGTTAATTGATGGCACATCCCTCGTATTGTACATTTTGAGACACAGTGCTTGATCTCACACCCCGAGGTCACTCTTGTGAGCGGCCTTACTAGGCCGTTGTTTATTCAGAAGGCAACTTCCTTGTTTTCACCGTCATCCAATACCAAGTTCATCAGTAATTTCTGTAATAACGAAAGAGCACACCGAAACAAAAGTTGCCTAGAAAAATAATTACATGGCATCAAAAAAATATAAGGAGATACAACATTGTTTTCATCTCTTGCTCACACATGCCACCTACATGTAAAACAATTAATAAAGTGACAGCCCAATTGGGAGAGGCAGGGAGCAAACCGAAACTGAAACCACACGGGAACGCACCAAATACACTTAAGTATACTCGGGCGCGGCACTCAAAGGGTTAAAGGGACAATGAAGGCAATTTCGGATATCTTTTTGGCGATTGAACTGGGTTCCAGGCACGTCTCGGGCCACGATGCCCAAATTTCAGCCGAAACTGGCGCTTGTGTGCTGTGCAAATCAATTAAACAGTTGCAGTAGTAATCATACCGGGATCGACTGGGGCGACGCCCCGAGAGTTGCGGGAGAAGCGGAGCTCACGTGACCGATGCGGGGCCAAGAAGCGCGACGTAACAAGAGATACGACAGCGATTGGTCGAAACAAGAGACATGCCCTCGGTCACATTTTTTTGGGTTCGCAATTTTTAGCAATACTGTTCTTATTTTCGCTTGAATAACCATAAAAAGTATAAATCGGACTGGAAATGATTACTAAACCGTAAATAAAACAGCATAATTGTTTTTCTCTTTGCTACGCCAGACGAGAAACTATGGGCAAACAAAATAAAATAAAAAAAGAACACGAGGGAAACGTTTGTTTTTGGTTTCAGATGTCGGTGTCGTGTTTACTTTGTGAACACGTACTCGAAGGATTCTACAAAGTGGTAGTCATGCCAAATTTGTGCGCTGTAGATGGCTGTTCTAACAGTCGACTGAAGATCAGTATTCGTTCGAGCGACGCTAGTTTTCATGTGTGGGTTGCTGTTTGTGTTCTTCGACGACGAAAAGAGGACGCCCGACTTTGGTGAAAGACAAAAATGGGGCTGTTTATTTTCTCCTTCTTGGGGAGCGTCCCCCGCGGAGGAACCGGTTCCCGGAACGGCTGGGTCACTGCTGCTTTCCCCTCAGCATCTCCCCCGCGTCCCTGTACTTCAGCAACGTGCTGCACTCGTCTCGCCCGCGCGAATGTTGCTACTGCTTCCCTGCTCGGAGCCTGCAGGCCACTCGTTGTCGGCTGTGCGGTCTCCGTCGGGTGATGGCGGAGGCTGCCATACACATACTCCCGTTCCGTTGGTGTTAGGTCACTGAACGGAAGCCCGAACTGCCCAAACTCGCTCGCGAGAGCAGCATTGTCGTCCATGCTGACAGATTCTAAGAAACGACCGCGCCACCACGCTGCTATAACCCACCGCGGTAACCAGTCTCGACCTCCTAAATACTACTAATATCGACTATTCACACTTGACGTCACTCCCTACATCACCTCCGTTTTCAGAGGCCCAGAAATAAGAATGGAGATAGTTCAATTTTGGTTTCTTTACTTCTTTCGTAGGCACAGAAATACACGTCACAAATGTCCACAAAAAATTGGGCAGCATGCTAGGTTCCCAAGAAGCCTAAAAACCCCATTTATAAAAATTAAATAAAATCGTCTTCATTGTCCCTTTAAAGAATCAGAGGGAGCTAATACAGGCTAGGTCTGTAAACAATAGAAAACAGAGGAGCAATCAATTTTGGCTGCGGTAAAATGTTGCACCATAAAATAATTCCATCATGCCAATAGAATCTGCAGCTCAAAATGTTTCATTTTCCCTTTATTCTAGATTCTGTCATGCAAATTTAAAACCATACTAAAAAAAAAAAAAAAATTGGCTTTCTTTAGAAACTTTTATTTACTAAAAAGAAATGACAACCTGAATAAAGGCCTGGAAGTCCAGGAGTGCACACCTCAAAAAATAAAGAATAGGTTTATTAATGCCTATAACAAGAGAATACCCAACACATACAAGATAGGTGCTCACCACACTTGTAAATGAGACTCACTTCTCAGGTATCTGGTTGCCCAAGAGCTAGAAATACATTCTTTCTGGAATCCTGCCAAGTCTAGCCAGCAGAATAGCCACCAAGGACACTATCCGGATTCAATAAAGATGCCACACATATGAGGCATACAAAGGCGTTTTTGCCTAGACCAAAGCAGCTATCGGAACAGCCAAAGCGGGAATCAATCATGCTTCGTTCCCATGGCAACCCAGGCTTTGTGGGTTTGTCCGCCTGTTTGAGCAGATGTTAGGTTTCCCTACCTCAATAGCAAAGTGCATTAGCTCGACAAACTAGACACACACACACAAAAAAAAACAAATAGTATATCTAAGCAAATATATATTTGGGAGAGAAAACTTACAAGCAACAATTCCGAGAAATGAGGGATTTCTGCTTTTTGGTTGTATCGTGCAATTTAAACATGTTAAATAAATTTGGCTGCCTCCTTCCAAATGATAAAAATATACATATTGGAAACTCATGATGATTTTGAATAATTAGTGAACTGAACAAAGAAACTGAACACTGTCAGTTCAGGTAAACAATACCATGAACATGCTACTTTTAATGCTGTCCTTGAAAGAATTAACCATCACCTAAATATGTACCAACCCTATCAAACAACTGCAAAATGTTCGCAACAGATGATTAAATACCTATAACAATCTCACCACACACTGCCAAGGAACTGCCACTTGACCAGCGAGGGACAAATGAAGATAAGAGCAAACGAGTATGCCTATCACAATCGAGCTCAATGCCCTCCACCTGGAAACACCGGTCACTGCGAACTAGGTAGCACACCGATTGTATTACATCTATGCGCTTTCACCGGTATGTGCAGTGCCCACAGACAGAATATGGACCTAATGTTAGTTAGCATGTGAAGCACATTCTTTTAACAAACGCAGCACGAATGTCACCCCATAAAAAAAGATAAAGGAGCTTTATGCAAAGTTATGAAGCTCCCGTCTCGGGAATAAACATGGCCCAAGGAATAGGGGAAAGGAAATGTGACAAACCCAAAGCTTTCCCTCGAAGAAGAAGGCTTCCTTGAGGTCGACAATGTTGTGGTGCTTGCACTCCACCAGGATGTCGATCTCAACCGTGAAGTCCTCCAAATCATCTTCGCCCTTGAGTTCACAAATCTTCGCTGCAGCCAGCACGTTGGTTATCTTGTGACGTGCCTGTGAAATGGGAACAAATATCTTGCTCAATAAACGGAGAGACAAGTCTCTTCAAACATACAGAAAGAAATTGTGATTAAATAAAAAAAGAAAAAGATTTGTGTTTCGAGGAGGATACAAGGAGAGACAAAGCACGAAGACAGGACAAAACATCTTTCCAACTGGCAGCTTAAACATTTGGCAATTCCGAATGATTTGACTGATTATTGATTGATTTCCATCTTTACTTTGGTGATTCTCCTATCCATCGTGCTCTTCCCCCTTTAAAATTGCCTTGCACCCCTCCCCTCCCAATTACAATGTCCCGTAATCGCTCATTTTTTCTATTCACGTGAAAACACTAAAAAAAAGTCAACACTTATTTAGTTAAACCCCCTCTCGACCCCGCCCCCGCCCGTCAAGGTGCACTAGAAGAGCAGAATTTAACTCTCAAGGAATCCAATAGGCAAGACGGCACTGGCCTGCACTCAAGAAAATGTGGAAGACTTGGGACCGAATACCTATCACAAATCAAAAACTCAATACAACTCCATCAGACACTTTTAAAATGAGCTCTGCTGACAATCAACAATCTTCTCAAAAAGTTTGTTCTATGCTGACAATTAACAATCAGTCTGTTCTATGCTGACAATTAACAATCTTCTCTCTGCTCAGAAAGTCTGTTCCATGCTCCCATGGTTTTAACCTTGGCAGCCCTTCAAATCAGCTCTACTTTACTAAGGGTGCTGGATGCCAAGAAGCCACTAAATTAATGTTAGACATTTGTGCTTACACCTACTTTTAAACTATAATTATCAGATTTTAACAGAATGTTTAAGAAATACCCCCAAGTGTTATTAGAAACCTATTTTTAAATGTTTGTTTTTATCTCCAAATGTCACTGTTAATGTTTTGAGTCAATTTTTTTTTTAACATCTTCCAACAGTTGTTAGATGTCATTGCAAAGGGGTCAAGGCTTTCACACACTGCCTGGACATGACATTTTTATCATAAAACAACAAAACAAAACCCGCAGTACTGACGGAAAACGCAACCCTGGAAACAGTTTATTATTCAACAGAAGCCTGCAGCAGATCACTTAGCACAACACGCTTGATTGATGGCAACATAAGACTTGCCCAATCAGTGTTCGACGTTTCTTCCTTTTCAAAGCAATCGAGGCAGCTACACGTTCGTTCTTTTCTCCTATTGTGCTAACAAGTGTCAGTATTGTCAAAAATAAAAGCGAAAACGAAAAGTAGCAAACTTACGAAAGAGAGAATTCGTGGAATGCCACCGCAATGAGCACTTCCAAAAACACAAAATGGAACGGGGAAGTCCTCATTCTGCCACACACTAAGATCTGACGCCCAACCTTTTTATATACCTATGTCTCCGAGGGCAGCTCCACCGATTTCACAACTTGGGCCAGAGCTACTTTTTTGCTTTCCTTTCTTGCCCGAATTCGCGTTTATTGACAGCACCGAGAAAGACTGGGTGATCTGAACATCTCGTACGAAGGGCGACACAGGAAAACCGCGGACGGAAAAGCACTTTTCAGCTTCCAGACTGTTCCCAAACACGCTTGGGCTACTTCTCATCGGCACAGACAGCGCAACCAGAGAAACGCAAGCGAAGCTCGCGTTGGAACGCAAGTGACGCAAATGACATTGAAAAACAGCTTTCTCAGCGCAATGCCGAGATCGCTGGCACCTCCGAGATGGCATGCCACCGGCGCGATAAAAGAGGACGACGCCTGAACACCTTACCTTGTAGACCTTGCCAAAGGCACCGTCGCCCAGTTCGCCGATGATCTCCCAGTAATCTTCGGGATTTTCTTCGAAACGAATATTACTGCAAACTTTTCGGCGTTTGGCATCCCCTCCTCCGGCCCCACCGAAATTAAATATTTTCTTGAAGAACGACGACATGCTTCTTCGGCTACCTACGCTCAGTCCAAGGACGTTAGAACGGCGCCCTGGCTCGACCACATGTCGGAGTTATTGATTTATCAGAGGCAGCTGCCGAAATCTGGGGTTTCTGCCACGCACTTCACCGCAGGCTAGCAGCGACTAAGCCTAAAAATTAGAACGGGAAGTAGGTTTCTCTCATCGGGCCATGCATCCGCGTTTGCAGAAATCGTCAGCGGTGCTCACGTGACGACAATATCCTGCAGGGCGAAAGCATATACTATGCCAAACCTTCGGGAACCTGCGACCGGGAGGACGCTAACCAAGCTGTAAATAACGCAGAACGGCAGAACGCGAGAGCTCAGCTAACACACCTACTCGGCTGCCATATTGCAATATGACGTCATGCACGTAGTTACGTTTATGTCCGACAGGTGGTTAGGAAATACTACGCTCGCCTGATTGGATTCTGCCGAAACCGCCAAAACTTCAAAATGTGTACTACTTTACTGAACTCGCAACTTCTCTTAAAGAAAAAAAAAAAAAAAAAAAAAAAAAGAAGAGAGACAAAGGACCGCGCTGCACTCTTTAGAGTAGCGGTCATCGAAGTGGCCGACGTGATGCAAGTTTCGAAATAAGTTATTACCTGCACAAATTATTGAATCGCTTGACTTCAGAGAATTCACATGAAAGATTTATACATTTGTACATACTATAAGACACATCGATGATGAACATATTTATTTTTGAAAAGCGACACCCAGATTCAAGTATTTAGTTTATTAAAGACCAATATACAGAAAGAAATTCCACTATGGGAGGGACCATGAACACGAGTAGTTTCATGTCCACAAGTCAGAGGTCAAGTAAATACAGGGCTGTACACACAAACATTCAAAATACTGCATTACATCATCACCTGGAGATGCTCTAATCTTTGTAGCCATTAATAAATAATGCTCGTTCATTCCGACCCTATATAACATCATCTAACTAAATTTCGCTGTGTAAAATGTAGGGTAGTGCTCGCCCAATAATTTATTGTAATGGCTGCAATGAATGTCTCATCTCAAGCTTTGAGCCACAACCCATCATCTTGTTAATATGAGCAGACTTGACAGGTTGTCTCTCCTCTGGAGTACACCACCAGAGGGGGCCTGGACTGAGGCCCCCTGCTCATATTCTTTGAGCCTAATAAAGTTTCATCTCTCTCTCTCTCTCTTATGCTGTTCCCAAGTTCACAAAATATGATAACTGGCACATAATAAAAAAATATCTCAAACGTAGGAGCACGAGAAATAGCGATGTTTCTTTCCTCAAGCACTTTCAAAGACTAGCATCACCACACACTCTTGTAGGTTAAATTAGTAGTAGTGTTGCTAACACGAAGCATACAACCACACAAACCAAGCAAAAAACATCCTTTCTCGTGGGGCAACCTCCTACAAGGGAATAATATAAATTGCATAAAAAGTTTCCAATAAGAATGTTCTGCCTAAACTAAAACTTCCCGGTGCCAAAATGCCATAGATTATATTTGGCAACAGAGGCAATGGTATGAACAGGGCATTGCAATTCCAACCACTGAATAGAGTGACCTGTAAGGTTCTGCCTAGCTCCATGAAAGATGAGCGTGCAGTCTTAAACAGTCGGCATCCAGTTGCTGCCGTCTTCTGGCATCAAGTTTCCGGATATCAGCAGGACGACATCCACAATCCACCAGATGCCCACACCACCCAGGGTGAGCAACTTGCCAACTGCAGTGCCCGTGTGTCCCAAGCAGAAGCGGTCCATCCCTAAGAAGCCTAACAATATTGAGTAGAGGAGTGTTGTGGTGAAGTAGTGACCAGTGTACCTGCAACAAAAGCACAAGAGACAAGCTGGGTTTCAGCTGGAGCGATTCCATTTTTTGCAGTGTGCCACAACTCGCCACACTTCCGACCCTGCATCTATCCATTTGCCTACCCCTAGACCCAAATGGTGGTAATGGGACAGCACGCAACCAACAGAAGAGATCACCGTCCCCAGAAAGGGAAGTCTAATGTAGTACTCGTTTAGTGGTCCTAAATTCGGCAGCTTTCAAAGCAGCAATTAACTTATTTCATGCAATCGTGCAAGGTCAAGGAATGACATTAAACCTTGTGGAACCTGTAAGGTGAAGGATATCTAACATGAACAGACGACATGTGGTCTCAACTATTCTTCTACCCTGTATTATAGGTAGGATTCAGTGTTTTCAGAGGTTAGTTTTTTGGTCAAATTCGGAAGGCGTTTTTCTGAGTTCATTTTTCGCTGAAAGTTCTGGGTTTATTGGAGTTTATTTTTGTTAGATTCCCAATTCTTTAATATTCAAAGTTTAAAAAAAAACACCCTAAATTCATAAAAGAAATCACCGGAACCGAAATATTTTTATTTGGCATTGGTGTCCCTGCGATAGGCAGTACTAACTGTCCCAGACATATCTTGAAAGCAAGTGTTACTTCAATAAATGTCGGTACTTTGGAAAAGTCAAGCACGCATAAAACCTTCAGCTGCCCTCTTCATCCCATGAAATCTAGAGGTTTACATCTTTCATTGTTATAAAAACACAACCTCTCCATCCAAGAAGCACCAATAGTATAGTCCAATCTAAAACTGGAACAGTGGTTTCAGATGCGGAGCATCTCTTGCTCGGGTCCATATCCCGCGCGCGGCGTCGTAGTCCGCACTCACACTACGCATGCGCAACTCTCCTCCTTCCCTCTCTCCAACAGCTGCGCGTTACTCTCTCCGCCCTCTCTCTCTACCAGCTGCGTGCACTTTGCGTGCGTTTGCTTCTACTCACACCGCGCGCGCATGCGCAACTCTCCTCCTCTAGTCTCCTCTCCCTCAAGTGTGAATACAAGCAGCGGTAGTGCGCTGCACGCGTTCAGGGGAGGAAGTGGCCGAGTGGGCTAACGCGTCTCAGCTCGGAGCGTGGAGCGAAAGCTTCCGCTGGGAACCTCCTGGGTTCGATCCCCGCCGCCCCCGCCCGTTTCGATCTGGATGAGTTTCGTACCGGCACATGTTCGTGTGATCACTACTGCGTGATGCACGTTAAAAAATTACACCATCTTCCCTAGGGGAACCATGGGGTGATGCGGAGCATCGCGGAGTTTCCAACAACGTTCACGCGATGTGTGGTAACCAACGCAAGTTAACAACGTAATAACACGCAAGTTAACAACGTTACTAACACCGTTACTAACACCGTTAGTAACACCGTTAATAACGATCCGCGATGCTCCGCATCACCCCATAATTCCCCTCGGGAAGATGGTGCAATTTTTTTGTCATGGTCCAGAAGTACATTGGCCCATTGTGCTGAGCGAACCTTGACAATAGTCAACAAAATATAAGAAAACAACAAAAAAAAAAAAAAACCCCCAAAAACTGGTTTTTATTTGGAAACACTAGTTCTATGCTCTGGCAAACTCAATTCGTAAAATACCGCCTTCTTTTGCTTTTTATTTTGTCATCGTGACTTCGAAATTCCGAGTTTTTTGGATAAAACCGAATTACCAAAAATTTTATTGCCGCGTTTTTCTGAGTTTATTGGTCGTTTTAACATTCCTGAATCGTGCAGGGCTTTAACCACCTGATCTGAGAGTTACTTCCCACGAACTGATCTTAATTACGAGGCTGGCGTGTTATATTCTTGAAGCACCCGCAAGCAAGCGTCGCACACCTCCGTCCATACGGAACAATTGTTACCACTATAATTCCGTCCAGACGGAACCACTACAGTTCCCTCCAGACAGAACCGATAGTCACCGCTAGAGTTCCGTCCAGACCAGGGGTGGACACAGGTATTTCTTGAGGGGGGGGGGGGGGGTCCTAAACATATGATACACTGAAACATCTGACCCCCCCCCCCCCTCAAGAAATACCTGTGTCCACCCCTGGTCTGGACGGAACTCTAGCGGTGACTATCGGTTCTGTCTGGACGGAACTGTAGTGGTTCCGTCTGGACGGAATTATAGTGGTAACAATTGTTCCGTATGGACGGAGGTGTGCGACGCTTGCTTGCGGGTGCTTCAAGAATATAACACGCCAGCCTCGTAATTAAGATCAGTTCGTGGGAAGTAACTCCAGGGGGGGGGGTCAGATGTTTCAGTGTATCATATGTTTAGGACCCCCCCCCCCCCCCCCCCCCCCTTCTCGTTTCCACGCCCTAAATTTTTATAAAGCAGAATTCAAGAGAGGGGTCAGGACATACAGACCCCCCCCCCCCTCTGAATTCAACCCTGGTCCAGACAGAGAGTTAGCAAACCCTCTAGAGTTCCGTCCAGATGGAACGACAGTCGCCACTAGGGTTCTGTCCAGAGGGAACTATAGCCGCCGCTAAAGTTCCGTCCAGACAGAAGAGAAACGTGCCACTAAAGCTCTGTACACACGAGGGTTGATCCCTATATGCTCCATCCTTGACCCACTTCTGGAGTAACTGGCATTGTTCCAATGTTAATTTTAATTCAGTTATTTTTTAATGTTAAATTCACTTGTCCCAGCAATCCTATAACATGTCTACTGCTTCCTGGAAAACAGTTTGCCCAACCTCTGCAAACCACGGATCTCCAGCCTCCATTACCTCATGTACTGATTAAAAATCTCCTCCCATGCAGGTGCTTTTCATTTTCTTTTTTTATAGAGTATGTTACTACTGGGAGCCAGATACAGTGAATGTGGTGGATATCATTTCTAAAGCTTTATTTAGGAAAGACAATCATTCTAATGCAAGACCTGAGGCCGGGTGCATTGTCGCAATGAGGGAGCACTCCCTGCCTCCCTTTCCCGCGACGTTGCTCCTCAATCGCAGCGCATAATCTCCTAATTAGGTTATATTGTGGCTCCACCTCGTAAATAATCACAAGAAAAAACGCCCTTGGCATCCCAAAAAATTTACCGAGAGCTTGTTGTTCAAAGAACAATACTCTCTGCTGGGCCCTCGGGACGGAACGGGGCTCTACGAGACCTCTGTCGTTCCGTCTGGACGGAACCCTACTGGGAACGGTGACTTTCGTTCCGTCTGGACGGAACTCTGCTGGGCCTGCTATCGTTCCGTCTAAACAAAACTCTAAACACTCCGTTTCTTTTTTTTTTTCGGAATGGTGATTAGTCTCACTTTATGCATGGAAATCCGTCTTTGAGGAATGTCCTGTTCCCATAGCATTCGATATTTGGTAAAACCGTGCAGTTAACCGCCGTAAACTGGACATCTTCGTATTTGGATCCGCCAAACTGGAAAAGAAAATACTACGATCAGTGGAATGGTTCAAAACACAACCAACACAACGCTGGTGTCAACACTTCGAAGCAGTGGGTACGTGCCTTGGTGCACCCGTAGCCCAGTTCCTCGCGGGCTGTATCGTTACCCTGCAGGTCCAACACATCTGCACACTGCAGGAAGTCTAAAGGCCTGCAATAAATGGTGTGTTTCAACGACGGTTACCGAGAGCGAGCACCGCGCACGCAAGGCGCAGACCTAGGAGCGCGTTTTCACAGCAGCACACTTCAACTCGATACTTACAGATGTTTACACAGCACTAACGGGCCGTATGGCTTATAGTCGCAGTCGTCTACCGTACAATGAGGGTTCTCCTGGTATATACTGTGCGTGAACTCAATACAAAACGTTAAGAAACTTACGAATACGAAACAAAACATTATTGAGCTACATAGCTACATAACGGCAGCCAGTCGAGTCGGCCACGAACGCTGACGGCGCGATTTCGCATTACAATAAAACGATATCTTAAATTAGTTTCAACTACAAAATGTTGTTTAAAAAAATGGCTACTAAAAGTTATATGATGAAGTTAACCTATATATTTTGTGTTTTAATTTTTTTATAGTGTAATATTTTTAAAGGAATAATGCGGCTTGACTGGCTTGACCTACTGTTTATGTCTGCAAATTCGCGAGTGGCGGACGTTGCAGACAGTTGATCATTGATTCAATTCGGCTGGGTGTTCGCGGTGATCGTCTTTCAGTGGGTGTGTTAGTGATGGTAACCGTATCGTGCAAGCGTTTTGTTCTGTGAAAGTAGCATCTAGTTTGGCAATGGACGTTACGCTGTTATTTAAAGCTTGTGTGAAGACTTTGAGGACTCGAAACAAAGCTCTCGGAGTGGTTCACGATGGAGATCGAAACGCCATACTGAAGCCGAGGCAGCCTCGGTCCGATTTTCACTACCGGGTTAGAGAAATCGTAAGTCGATTTTGACTAACAACGTCATTAAAAAATGCTAGGTGCATTTTATAAAGTGTCACGAAGTTGCGAGCCTGCCATCATGTTCCTTCTGTATCTGACCTCTGTTTGTGACGATCTCTGTTTCGACGTCTGACTACTGCCTACGTTTTCGACAGAATTCCAACATCTCTAAGATGAAGAACTTTCTGAGGGAGCACAGAAATGACTACATAAATGCCACGTAAGACATTGCTTTGGATTTTGCAGCCCGTAGGAGGCGTCCGTCGTTTCTGTTCACTCTTGATTGCCCGGTTTCCTCGTGTCGCAGTCATCTGATGTACGACACGTCTCGAATGACTGAGAACGAGCGGGACAGGATCGACAAGGAGGCCCAGCAGTTCGTCTTCCAGTGTCGAGAGCTCCTGAAGAACCTGCGGAAGGAAGGTAAGCACTCGGTTCGATAGCAGATGGATAATGAACGAGGGGGATGTTCCATTTCATTTACCCTCGGGGCATAAAGCGTTACAGAGGGGGAGTGGGGAAACAATCGGTGGCTAGTGAAAAACTCACGTGGGAAAATCGATAAACATCATGATTAACAGTGGGGGCCGGAAGGTGGTTCCATTCATGGGATGTGCATGGTATAAAAGAATGGTAAAAAGCATTGCAATTTGAATGAGGGATGCCAACTTTATGTCAGTAAAAATATTCGTAGATCCAGGAATCTAATCTATGAATATTTTTATTGACCTTTCACGTATGCTGGTTGTACGAGCCATGAGGAAACAAACCGCTCCTTAACTTCAATTCTGCACACTCCAAGCTGGTTAAGGCAGGCATTGTCAAACTTTGCCTTAAAAACTCGCTTAGCAAATCATGCAAACATATGATAAAAACCAGCTTTTGTGCTCAAATTTCTCGCCTGTCATCAGCAGGGTATCCCACTTCCTTATTAACATCAGTCGCAGAAAACCTTCTCAGAGAACAGAAAAAAGATGTCATCCGATGAAAACCAAGAGACAGGTCAACTAGACTCAATGTTGTGCCTTAAATCCACAGCGTCTCCCATTTTCTTTAAAAAGTGGCGAACGGGGTCAACATTGGCGTCATCTTCTCGGCTCCAGACAAGCTTTTGAGCTTATGCATGAAAGTAAACAATCCTTCACAAAATTCTGCAAGCTGCACAAAAAAGCACCAGACCAGTTTCGTTCCATGTACAGAAGGTATAATATATTCCTTTTCCTCTCCTGTGGGAAACAATGTATCGGCCAGACTGGGAGATTTTCAAACGATAGACTCTGTGAGCACAACAACAACATAACTAGAGCCAACTCAGGACATTTAGGTTACATTGCCGTGATTGCGGATGTGTGGCACATCTAGGTAGGTGTACAGTGCTGGGCAGAAGCGGTAGCCAACTCGCTAGAGAGATAGTGGAAGCGGAACATATTGTCAGGTATGACGACAAATGTGTTAACACTCCATCGCTCACTTTATCAGGAAAAGAATTAGCTTATCTTTTTACTATAAGATAAACACCCATGATCGTCGTTTCATGGGACTTTGAGGAAAAAGAAGCCAATTTTTACAAATGTACCAAAAAGGCATAGAAGAAAAAGATGTGCAAATATAGATTGAGTTGTGAGTCAGCGCTGTGCGAGTGTTTTGTCTGCTGTGATTGTGTCACTATGTGTGATTGTTTTTGTGGCCTGTGGTGACTTGCGTTTGTGTGCAACTCCATACCTGCGCTGTTATTTTGAGATATATTTTGGATAACCAACTTGCCCAAGCTGCCGTTTTGCCCAGCGTGCGATTTGCGTTGTTAGTTACGTTATCTATGTGATGTTTCCATGTTAGATCAGATGTGATATGTACACCAAGGCATTTATACTTTGAGACCGACTATAATGCAATTCCTTTAATATTATAATCTGCAGATACTGTTGTACATCTGCATATGTGCATAGACTTACATTTAGTTGAGTTTAATTGCATTGATCATGATTCACACCAAAGTGACACTTCATTAATATCATTTTGTAACTGCCTAGATTCAAGGTTATTGATTACTTGGCTGTATAGGATGCAGTCATTAGCGAATAGTGAAATGTTGGATGAAGTATGAGATGGTAGGTTATTGATATAGATTAAAAATAGCCAAGTCCTAAGACTGACCCCTGTGGTACTCCTGAAGTGACAGAAACTAAATTGGAACTAGAGTTGTTGATAGTAACCAGTTGTTTGCGATTAGTCAAGAAAGAATGTATCCAGGTGAGAACTTTAGGGTCTATATTTTGTTTACTGAGTTTTAATAAAAGTTGTTTGTGAGACACTTTATCAAATACTTTTGAAAAATCTAAGAAGATGCAATCTATACTTGACCTCCGGCCAAGCATAGTTAGTATGAAGGTCATGTGTGAACGGCGGAATTGTGTTTAGCATGAGAATGATTTCCGAAAATCATGTTGAAATGGGCAAAAGAAGCAGTTTGAATCTTACTAAATTAAAATAAATTATATGTTCAAGAATTTCGCTTGGGACACTGGTCAATGATATAGGGTGAAAGTTTAGAGGACTGTTTATCACCTTCCTTGTGAACAGGAACCACCCTGGCGACTTAGGCTTAAACCGGCTGTAATGGGTATAGTCATTAACATCCATCCATCCATCCATCAGGTAAAACACCAAACTGTAGGGATTGAGTAAATATAGCAGAGAGCAAAATTGACGTATGCATCTTTGTATTTTTTAGGAACTTTGTATTAATATTGTTGAATCCTGTTTGAGGGAAACAGTTATTTTAACAATGCCTTCAGGATCAACTGCTAGCAGATGCAGTGGCAGGTAGTCATAAAGTGCACAGTCAGAAGTAGGAGAGCTTGAAGGAACCAAGAAGCAACTTACAAATACATCATTGAGAATATTAGCGCAATCCACACGAGCAATGATGGTAGCCTCTACCATCATTGGCCTTCAATGACACTGGGATTTTACTGTTCCCTTTCGTGACATTCCAAAACTGCTTAGAATTATTTATTAACATGGACGATAAGGTGCAGTGAAAAAATATTTTTTTGGCTTGATCTACAGCAGTTTTGTATGAACCAGCACCCGTGTAATAAGCGACCCATCGTCAACGAGTCAAGTCTTTTTTCGCAGCATGAAATAAACGCTTCTTGTTATGCAATCTATTGAACTTTCTATTAAACCATGGCCTGTCTGAATTGGAATACTCCTTCCTCAGGGGGATATGCAAATTTAAAAGTCAATCAAGTTCCATCTTGAATAAGTTGCAATTATCATTAGCAGAATGTTCAAGAAAGAATGGTAAAAATGTTTTCATAAAAGTGCACAGGTCCCTTCTAACTGCCCCAAAGTTAGCTTTACCATAGTCTCATACAGGTTGGAAGGTATTTGGTACACCCGCCAAGGGCATTTTTATATCAAAATGTAGTAGGCAATGATCACTTAGACTAGATAAATGTAATATGGACGAGACTAACTTTGGGCATGTTGTTAGAATAGGGTCTAGTATATTTGCTGATGAGCTGGTAGTGTGGGTAGGTTTGGTTACCAATTGTGAAAAAACTATAATCAGAACATAAATCTACAAAATTATTGCTTTCCAAAGAAAATGGCTGAGCAACTGGGGAAATTCCAGAACACACAATGGTAGGAAAATTAAATTCACCCATAAGAATGATGAGCGAAGTAGGGAAGTGAGAGATTATCTAATTGAGTGAGTCACGTAAATCTTCAAAAAAAAAGTTGTTCGCACTTGGAGGGCGGTAACACACACCCAATATCAGTCGCTTGTTTACACTCATGTCGATCCAGACAGTCTCAATTTGCCATTTGGCTACATATATTGATGATTGAAGATGCAATGCTATTCACAACGGCAATGAGCACTCCACCGCCAAGTCTACCACTCCTATCATATTGATATGCATTGAACCATTTATGGTAGTTAAATATTTCATTGTTTTGAATTTTGCTAGATAACCACGTTTCCGTGAGAAACACTATTTCACAATCACTGAAATCAATTGCGGAACTCAAGTCCTCATGACAGCACATGACGCTACGAACATTAACAAAAAGAACTGAGATATTACGTGTTTCAAAGGAACGCTGTCACCCAATCCCCGCTCCTACCTAGCTTGACGTCCCTTAGAGCGCATCATGGCTGTCAGCATGCTGATAATGAATAATACGCGTTGCGCCAGAAGTAATAACCTCATGAACCAAGTCTTCCCTCGGATCGTAAGCATATACCTTGTTGTTAACATGCAATTTATTATAACGCACGGAAAACATGGATCCCAGTGACTTTTCAAAATCAATCAGCTTTGATCTCGCAAGTCGCGTCGTAGATGAAAATTCTTTTATGAGAGATCTGGGTTGCGGAACCTTGTCTTTCACTTTAAAAAATAAAAATTTTACAATTACTGGGTGACATTTGTCTTTTTTTTAAAGAGCCGATTTTGTGAGCATGTGCAATGCAATTGGCAGAGATTTCCAAACTGGAAAGAGCACCGATATCTTTTTGTTCAGTCTGAGCCCATGTTTCTGAAAGACAATAAAAAAAAACAAAAAAACATGAAAGATTAGTTTGTCCCGACGTGATCTATCTTTCATCTCATCAATACGAGAATGCAGTGAAACAACATCATCCTGCACATGACCGATACCCTGTTGCACCGCGCTCAATTCTTGCTGGGCTTCGTTAAGCGAGGATTCTCCAATTTCTACTACCGCGAATCTTTCGTCGGTAGCGCTAAACTTTGCTTCAATTAATGCTTGGCTTCTTTTTAACTCATTCATGGATGTAGTCAAACTAGCCTGCCCTTTTTTTGACTTGATCGAGCGCTTGTTGAGCTTTTGCAACAGTTGAAACATTGCATTAAATTGCGGAACCTGAGGTTCACTCATTGGTCTAGGGTTGTAGGGCGATGTTGTCAGCGATGTTGCCAAATCCTTGAAAAAGATTGCAAGCCACCTGCGGGAATCAAACCTCGGTCCGCTGTTTGCAAAGCGGACCGAGGTTTGATTCCTCGGTCCGCTTGCGAAGCGGAGGCTTTACCACTTACGCCACAGCGTTAACAACCTGCTCTATACTTGGGGTTTTTGTAGTACCTGATGCCTATTGCATGCATTCTCTGCAAAAAAGAATAGCTATAGCTGTCATAGCACTGTCACTGCCAAGGGCTTGTGCGGGGAGATGCGCTTTCATGCGTGAACGCGACACCGATGCCCAGCAACTTCGCCGTGAGGTGTCGCATCTATCACTACCTTCATTTGATTTACCCGCACCTCTTGCACCGGTGCAAAAAAGTGTAATCCAGTGTACTTCATGTATGTGTATTGAGATACGACTGGAAGTACACTGCCCTACACTTTTCTGCATCAGTTTGGCACGAGTGCAGGAGGTGCAGATAAATTGAATGAGCCTTCTGTGGCCGTACAGTAAATTAACACAAAACTGTTCCATTTTTTTTTTTTGGGGGGGGGGGGGGGGAGAGTGGGGAGGGAGGTTGTTGTGATTGTGTAACCTTGTGATGCACCCCCTTATGGTTGTATTTTGCGCCCACATTTGACTGATTGGTCAGCTTTACTAATGTACTTCGCATCAACAGCTTGTCGATTTCGAGTATAAATGCACAGCCACTTGTACGGAAGGCGGACACCAAGCGGCCGTGGGAAAGGGTGAGAAGTTTTTCCCGAACCTGACTGTTAGAAACAGAAACAGGATATGTGGACTTATTGGGATCATATAAAGTAATTGTGATCTAGGTTACCAGTGAAATTCAGAGTTCCTTGTTACATTCACCCTGCGTGAAGCACATGTTGACATCTGCTTTGTGTATTTATCTGTGCGTGTTTCGTCATTATTTTATTGTTGTACGTGCTGCTGTGACAAAAGATGATGTTTTATGAATTTGTGCTGCACACATATTCCAGATTGTCACCTTTCATATCGCAGTTTCACACTCCCCATGACAGCATCATACTAAACACCTCTATTTGCTAATATTCGTCTTGTGCTGACAAAAAGACGAGCATAAGAAAGAACATATGTGGTTTTGGGTTGAATGAATAAATAAATACTGCAAATAATTAAAAAGTAAAAAATTTTTAACGTCACAAGTACTACTGAAAGAAAAAAAATCCTAAAATTAACTTACCGTAGAATACTGCGCATCCGCCCATACCACATAAGCGTCCATTACCAAATTTGTAAGATCTGAGAAAATATGCACAGTACATTTATATGTAAAATTGATGACCGGACAAGCTCCCATCCCCCATTTTTCTGAGATTATCTCCAAAATTCGAGTGGGCACTTGCCCGGTATTTTACGGTATTAGATAAAAACTTAAAAAGTATTTCGAATTTGAAAAAAATAAAAAATAAAAACCACAAGGCCACTATGGTATGTGCATATTCAAATCTCTCTGATTAAGATGCTCCTAGCCAGCGACCCCGGAAATGTATTCTACATGGGGGGGACTAGCGGTCGAAAAAAAAAAAAATTAAAAGAGGGGGGGGGGGGGGGGGGGAAGAAGAAGAAGAAGAGTGAAAAAAAAATTGGAATTAAAAAAGCTACCATTACCAATATTTTACTGTTCATAGAAGGTTTATTATCACTACCTATACCGTGTGTCCATGCATTCAGACTAGGACCAGTACGCCTCTTCAAAGTCATCAACATTCCAACCCGATATTGTTTCATAAACCCTTTAATTACTGACTTTTTTTTCAATTCATCCTTGAACAATAAAGCAAAACATACAACAAAGTAATCTTGGTGGTTAAAGTATTTAGGGCTCAAACTGCCTCATCCACCCTCTTCTAATAACTGAACCTTCGTGTCCCAAACTAACAGACGTCACCATCTTGCTCAGCTGGGGCGCTCTTGGGCGCGGCCATAATCCGATTACGACGCCTTAGCAAGGCTTTGTAATTGGATTATTACGCGTCCAAGCACACCCCAGCCGAGCAAGATGGCGGCGACCTGAAGTTGGACTTGCAAATGTATATACGATTAGCAAAGAGCACCTGGTGGATGTCGCTAACCCCTCGTTTGTAATGCCCATCTAGGAACCTTGACAGGTAGTGACGATAACTGTCTCACCTCTGGCCACCACGAGAGCATAGGAGCATAGAAGAGATTCTCTTCCCGAGACTCTTTTCTGTGTGCACCAGACGTCGCTATTGTCCCTCTACAGGATTATAGAAGGTTAACCCGTCACTCAAACTTCGCACAAAAGCAGCCGCTTCGGTGGCTGGAACGACTAGGCCATCCTCTTGACGTCAGCCTCGCCGCAGCTTTGCTCGTCCCGAGACGAACTACGTCACGATTGCGTCGAATGTCACATGGTCTCCGCTGGTTGCTCTCCGAGCGCTTGCCAGAGTGGGCCATATGTAACGAAAAATACAGCCACCAGGCTCAAAATGCAAACATACGATTATCATTTACGGATATTGTGGATCATATTCAACCTATTTTTGAACGCGACGGGTATATTTCAAATTTCGTTGAAGTATTCCTTTAAGGGTAAAATGTTTCGATTAGTTTTGGAAATGGTCTTGTTTCTTCTAATTTCAGTAATTTAGGACTTCGCAGCCATTTAGACGTATTACTCTAAGCCAGGGGTGGCCAGGCTGACCCGGCCTAAAAGCCGCAAACAAAACCACTAAACTTCCAAAAACCGCAAAAAAAAGGCAGTAAAAAAAGGGGGGGGGTCTATACTTTTTTATAGACTATTAAATGAAACTTGAACTACTTTAGATCTATCCAAGTCAAAAGCAGTTCAACTGTACGTACGTATAATAGTGGTGGCACAGGACCAAACCGCAACCTGTCTTGATTCAAAACTCATTCTTTTTCTCCTCTTGGAGAAGTGCTCATGTGGCCGGGAGGGAGGCGGGAAAGGAGTGGGGGTGGGTTAGGTATATTAGGGAGCCACGAGCCACACTTTTACAAGCAAAAAGCCGCAGCTTGGCCACCCCTGCCTCTAAGCTAAGAATAAAAAATCATACCTCAAAGGCTCGAAAAAAAAAAAAAAAAGAAAAAAAAATTGCAGCGATCATATCACTTGATGGCAGAAAAGGTGTCCTGCACTGGCGGATCGGACACGAGCTCTAGAGCAGTTGCTTGCAGTCACTGCCTCTTGAAAACTTTTGGGGGACATCTAAAGAGCCGGCTCGTTGAAACGCCTGTTAGTGGTTAGAAAGGAAGGATTCGGGAGGTTCACCGATGTTTCTTTTTGCTTGTTTTAAACTTGTCGTTTCGGAGGAAACTTTCCATATGGAACTAGGCTAAAAGACCAAAAATATACAAAAGATAATGTGTAGCATGTATGTTGCTCGTGTAGCCTTCGGCGACACTTGCTTGCCTTCCAACACACCATTGTCCGTACAACGCGTCAAGGGTGCCCCAGTACAATAGAGAACTCCGTGGCCGTCCTTCTGTCTGGTTTCAATTAGAAGAGACCTCAAAGGGACCGCCAGCGTCGACAGCTTTGCTCCCTCCGACAAGGAGGGTGGGAGGCCACGCTTACATTTTGTTGCTCTAGCACCGTTTTTTACAACAAGCTCACAAACACCAGCTCGTCTAGAGAATGTAACTTTGTGGCATCACTGTTTCCCCATTGAACAAAAAAAGAAAAAAAAAAAAAAGGTGGGGTTGGGGGGAACGGCACAACGTCAGAAAGCCAGGGCCCAGAGGCTCCTCTGAGTTTTGTTCCACTTTAAGGTCTGAGCTATTCTAAACTGAGACCGACTAACATTTTTTTTTTTCTTCAAATTTTCGGGGATTAGCACGGGGCCCCCTGGGGCCCTGGGATGGAGCCCACTCAGCTTGTACCTTAATTTGGCCCTTGGGGAGAGGGAGGCCTTGAGCCAAATGCACGGGGGCTCAGCATATTGCCCAGCACCGCCTGGAAAATGGCAGCGGGTGCTGAAGCCCCCATTGCCCCCCCAGTTCCGGGGTCCCTGCTCCTAGCTTAATATTGGTCAGTCACGTTTGAGTAGCAAAAAAAGTGGAGAATGTGAGTCCGGAATATGTGCTCCTGCTTTCCTTTGTGCAGTTAGGAATCAGTCACTGACAGCGCAACAGCTGGACCATCACGAGGGTGTCCTCTTCCTGCTGGAAGGTCATCTAAACAGTAAGTCGAACAGGTGTTGCTATGCTTTTGGACCTCCCTAGAAATTGTCAGTATCACCCCAGGATCCAGGTGACTCTGGGGTGCTCCTGTTTCCTCCAAAAGGATATTGATGTCGCTGGCTTGTAATAAGGCAGAGGCCCCCCGCAGGCGGGGTTTGGGGAGCTATTCAATGGAGTGGCGGTGTGGCTAAGGGTTGTAAGCATCTTTATTGAAGGAAGAGGAGAGGAGTTGGGGGGGGGGGGGGGGGGGGGGGAGGGATGAGGGTAGAAAGATTTGGAGGAGTCGAGTGGGTGCCTCAAGTCCGAGGCTTCAGTTGCCTTGAGTGCTGTCATGACCCTCTTGACAAGCGGTGTGAAGACTCTGGTTAGGAGCTGCACACACACCGTCGTCAGGGCCCGACGTTGAGGAGAGACAGTACCCAGCACTAGTTCCGGCACATATAACTTTATCTAAACTCGGCTTGAGTTCGCGACACAGAAAACTGCTACGACATTCTCCGTCCGAAGGCTTGCGATGGCTAACCGCCCTTTTTTTGCTGTTTCTTCTCTTTGTCCTCTTTTCTTCCCCTGACCGCGAGGCGAGGATTCTTTGTAATCTGGCGCGAACGCCACGGTGAGACACACACCCACACACACGTGCCCGCACGCACAGCACCGAATGAGTCGGTAATACACTCCGTCACAGTTGCCCACATAAAAAAAAGGAATTTTCTCTTACACAAAATTCACCTGACAAAACTTAAAGGGATGTTCATGTTCAGGTTCATAAAGACACTTAATTTTCGGACCGTAATGAACTCACTATAGGATACCTATAGAAACACTGGGTAAAGTGCACAGAATACACCATCACGTGGTCGCTAAGAACATTGAACAGAATGGGACAACACATTGAACCCAGAACAATAAGGAGCTCACTAAAAAGTTCCCGCAGAGTACAGACCACCCGGTGGGCCCCGCAGGTTTCTCGTACGTGTGTCCATTAAGGTCGATCAACTGGTCCGTATTTTCTCAAAGCATAGCGGTGTTCCCGCGCGGGTTGGCTTGCTCTAGGAGGAGCAGCAGCCGAGTTGTGAGACAACTCCTCCAAAAGTGCCAGCATGATGAAATCGTTGGATCTCTTCTCGTCAGAATTCACTCTGTTCTCATCTGCTGGACACGGGCTGTGGGGCTTTGGAACGGCGGGCATGGCAGCAGGAGTCCCAACATAGTTAGGCATGCCCGGCCCCCGAAGAGGCCCAATGTCACTCCCGGTCACCGCCTCCGGCACCATATCGCTTAAGGCGATTAGCATGAACTATTTTTTGTTCCCCTGTTCGAGTGTCTTTTACTCGGAAGGTGACCTCCGACAGTTTTTCTACGACCCGAAGCGGACCGCGCCATTTAGGCTGCAACTTTCTGGCGAGCCCACGGACGCCGGCCAAGTCATTGATACACATGACGTCACCCACGGCGAAGCTTGAAGTTGCAGCGTCCCTATCGAATAGGTGTTTCCTTGGTTCGGCAGAGTCAGCCAGCATCAGGCGTGCAGACTCGTAAGCGAATGAGAGTCGCTGAAGCAGTTCATCTCTGTAGTTATCTAGAGTGCCGTAACCTCCCGTCGGCGACTGGTAAAGGGCTGATAGCATCTCGGGATGGCGGCCATGAAGAAGGAAAAAGGGGCTCTGTTTATTACTCTCAAGGGTCGCCGAGTTGAACGCGAAGGTGATGCAAGCCACCCACACGTCCCAATCCCATTGGTCACGGGCCACATAGTGACCCAGCATTCCGCTGATAGTCTGATTGAGGCGCTCCACCACTCCATTACACTAGGGGTGATAAGGCGTTGTAAGAATCTTCTGGATTCCCAGGAGATTACATACCTCTCGCAGGAGCTTTGACGTGAAGTTTGCACCACGATCTGTTAAAAGTTGCTGAGGCGTCCCGTGGTGCATTACAATGCGCTCGACATATATAAAGTTATATGTGCCGGAACTAGTGCTGGGTACTGTCTCTCCTCAACGTCGGGCCCCGACGACGGTGTGTGTGCAGCTCCTAACCAGAGTCTTCACAATTGGTGGCAGCGGTGGGATACACACCCACACACACGTGCCCGCACGCACAGCACCGAATGAGTCGGTAATACACTTCGTCACAGCGTCTTCTGCTTGCTCTAATCCTCGCTTCGCAACTCAGCTGCCCAATCCTCTTCGTTTGGGTCTTTGATGGGGAGTAATCGGGTCTTTGATAGGAGTCTCCGTAGGACGAACTCCTCATCGGTTGATGTTGAGTGGGGAACGGTCGCCGGCATACTGTGAACTATTGGCGGTTGTGACAAGGCTTGGTGTAAGCTCGAGCCTGAGATTATCTTTAATTTTTCCCCATCGGACCGAAGCGAAGGGAGGGATGATCGCACATAGCGCCGTCTGTTTGGAAGCCTAGCTTGCCGACCGTTTCAATTAGCTAGACAGACAGCGCTATGTGCTGTCACCCCTCTTTTTGCTCCACTCTGCTTGGGGAAAATAAAATATGATCTCAGGCTCGAGCTTGCACAATGCCTCGTCGGAACCACAATCGGTTCACAGCATGCTGGTGGCCGAAGCAATAGTTTCCAGCTCAACCTTGACCGCCACTCCCTCGGTGCACCGCTGCTCTGTTGAGAGAACTCGCCAAGCTCAACCCACGGAGGATACTCCGCCTTAATGCATTGCCCAGGAGGACGCACCTCCTGGGCAATGCATTAAGGCAGAATTAATTAAGGCATTAAGGTGGAATGCATTGCCTTAATGCACTGCATTAAGGCAATGCATTAAGACCTTCTTTATTGCCCAGGAGGACGCACCTCCTGGGCAATGCAGATGGTCTATGGCGACAACACATCAGTAGATGAAACATCTGTTTTGTCTAGTTTTTCTCGTCTGCTAATATTTATTTTATTTTATTGGTAACAATAAAATAAAAGAATCATGCACTGACAATTGGCACAGAAAGAAAGAAAATATTTTCGAAAGGGATAATGAATAGTTTCTCCGAGCCTTTCACTACTGCATTATAAACTTGTGAAGGTTGTTCCCAAGCTTCCAATTGTTCATTTCTAAGCTAAGTTATTTTTATTGAACTATATTTATGGTCTAGCCACAGAAAGTCCAATGCCTACATTGGTATAGCAAGTTAATGACTCATTTGACATAAAATGAAACCTATACATGGCTTGCACGTGACGTCAGTCTGCCCTTCTTTCTGGTGGCCAGAAGTGCCTCGTTAATGCAGTGGAAGCTATACTCTCGTGTCCCCTTTTCCCCAAGTCCACTCCCCTTTTTGGTGGCAAGAAGCATCTCATTGACACAGCAGCAGCAACCCTCTCATGCGCCCTTTCCCCCATTATTATATGACCAAGTGACGTCACTGCAGGCTATGTACAGAGATGCCCAGCTATACCTAATCGAGGAGATTTATAGACCTAATTGGTACATGCAAATATCTTTCCTTAAATCTAGAATTGAAAAGAGGAAAACAGACAATCATGAATGATTAACGCAGGTTGTGAGGACATCTCTGCCTAACATATACTCTTGCATAATAACCAGTTTAATTTTAAAAAATTTGCTGTGGGGTGGATATCAACAACCACAAAGTTCTTGTTCCTTTTTAAATACACCAGGTATGTGCGTGCACCATCCTGCTTTAAAAGTGTGCTTTCTCTTGAGCCTGCGACTGCGATATTCATACCCATTGACCGCGCTTCTTACAGTGAGCACAAGTGCACTGTGGAAAAACACCCACAGAAGCAAGCTCCGTGGGTGTTGCTTTTTCGGTGTGCACCGGTGCTCTGTAAGAGGCGTGCGCAACGGGGCTAACACACCGCACCGCGATCAACTGTTTGAAAACTGGGAATATTGCAGTTCATCTCGAAGCAAATATCGAATAGCGTATTATTCGAAACTACTATTTGAAAATTTGAATATTTGCACAACCCTAAATTAGCATTAAAAACTACTTCACTATTTTTAATGATGTTTCAACACAAAATGTGTTATGTCAGCAATTCTCAATGAAAAACCATTATGCTTGACTGTTACACATAGGTTAAAGTTATGTAAAGCATATGGGGCCCTATGGGCACCATTTTAATACACGGACACAAGAATACTCCCAATATGGATTGAACCTGGGACCAAGTGTTTTGCAACCAGATTCTATAGTGACTGAGCTAAGCAACATAGGTGCATGGGGACAGCTAACAGTTGGTTTATAAAATGTATGTCATATCAATATCACGTTGTTGATGACCTCATCTGACTTCAATCTATGTCGCAAGCTTTTCTCCATATAGGGCGAAGCGAGCTTTTTCCCGTAAAAGTTCAGAGCCAAACTCACCTTTATTCAGTGCATTGCCATGGCTCTGAGGCACACTACTGCTAAACATATGCAAGCATACCGCCAGCGTAGGAAGCAGGAGAGGTAGCAGTAAGGTTATGGCAAGCACACTTGAACCGCCTACCGTTTGCACTCAACACATTCCCTGCTCTCCAATCCTAGTCAGTCTGGTCAAGCTACATCCCGAGAGATGCCCCACCCCCGAAAGATAACCCATCCCTATTTTTGGCAGGATCTGCTATTTTTCAGGAACACCGAAAGATAGCCCGCTTCTAGTAAATCCAGGGCCCTGGCCAATGGTGACCTCAGTAGAAATGGTGTTGCTTAGCCACGAAGGGAGATAAGCGAACATTGCTGACTGGGAAGGGCAGTCGTCTTTGATTCATCGCCCCTCCTTGCAGTCACAAGTTTCACAGGCCACAGAATCTAAAACTATCATTTTTTAAAACTTTTTTTGATTGCACACTGAAAGTTAGCCCATTCCTTATTTTCACTCAATTTGTTTTCGATTTTTGGTGGGCTATCTGTTAGAATGCTTGCACAAGGTTAAAATGTTTCTTGCCAATTTTTGTTTGTTTTTTCTAGCACACATGGGGAGTTTGTTGTTTCAGGGGTACTAATATTTGAATAAAAGTATATCTACTAGAACTACATACAAACTATTCAATCAGCATGTGGAGGCTCAAAATCTCTAAAGTTGGCGACGATTATATGGTTAGATTACATAAAGAAAAAATAGAAATCATTCTTTTATGTAATTTGTTCTATCCACTTTAGTTGGGCTCCATATGATTGTTTAGGCTCGAGGAGTGGGTTTTGTACCTAAAGGTTGCCACTCAGTGTCAGAATGTAGACTTTTTTTAAAGCAGGGTTGCAATTGCTTTTTCTATAAAATACCACGCATGCGCCCATGCGACAATAAACACCCACCTATTATGAAACTTTTGAAAAGTAATCCAAAGAAATATTCAGCATCCACCACAGACTTCTGAGCCCACCTGTACTCTATCTCACTAGTTGTGCAGAGCGTTGCCATAGAAACAGGGGCGAGAGAGTAACCCGAGCAGCGGGAGAGGAGGGGAAGGGGGAAATCCCCTCCTACCCGGACGGTCTTTTGTGAACCCCACATCGCTTTGCTCTCCCTCGGAGATGAGCCTTCTTCTCTCTCTTGGCCGTGGCTTCCGCAGTACTGCGCCCACCACGTGAGATTGTGTATCGCTAACTTAGATGCTCCTCCGCTTGAGCCGCTTCTGCAAGCACGCCGGTCCAAAGCGGTGAAGCCCACCCTATCGTGTGCCCCTTCAGTATTTTCACATTCGGGCTTAAAGGAGTACTCCGGCGATTTTTTGAGCTACCTCAACTAACTATATTTTCTAACTTTCCGACCTTTACTCTTTCCGGTATGCTATTTAGTATCGCGAAATTCATAATAGTTATTGCGAAATTAGCAAATGAAAATGATGCAAAAACCAACATTCAAATATACCCGCACTTTTCAGTGCCGTGACATCAGTGGCGGGCAGGCTTGCCAGTCGAGCGAGCAGTCTAAAAAATAGAATATGCCAATCATTTGTTCCGTGCTGGCGCACGGGGACTGGAGCGAGCTTTCAAAGCGTTCATTTGACATCATGAAACTGCTTCGAATCAGTTGGGAACAAATTCTACAGTCCAAAGAGTGAACCCCTGCACTTCCAATTACGTCACTTTTTCTTTGTTGCCAGTAGAGACGTTCAATTTGAAAAACACTGTGAGGACCAAAATCGTAAATTCAATAATTTCGTAAAAAAAAAATTATTTTGACCTAATATTTGGGATACTATTTTGCCGATGTTGCTTGGCGAGTGGAGCAAAATATCAAGCAAAGCGGAGACCATGAAGAAATCGCCGGATTACCCCTTTAAAGGGGTCAGGACGTGTCAAAAATAAAATTTGAAATAACGATAGTGCTAGGACCCAATATTTGTTCCTATAATTCTACTAAATTTGTTTGAAAAATGGCCCCATAGTTTCCTGGATAAATCGATTTATATGCGAAACCCTCGGATCCGCCCCATTAAAAAAAGTTGCCGTGGCTAGCAGCCTTGTGACGTTGCCGGCCCGCCGCGCAGCATCCCCTTACATGCACTCACAGACTTGGCTCTCTCGACATCTCGAGCTTCAGCTTTCTCGTTTACTTTCCGTGTTTCGAGCATGTGGTCCATGACAATCATGTCTATGGCATCACTCGCTTCATCAAAGTCTTCTACACTGATCGCAGCAACAATGAGAGTGATTGTTATCGAGAGATGTTGGAAGTTGTTCATTTTGACTGCGACTTGCTGGCAACCAGCTCCAGTGACGGCAAGTCGCGGACGAACTCGTTGTGGTCACCGTCACCCGGGACAATCTCGCAGGCGCATGCAGGGTGAAAGGTCAAAGGGCCGTGGGCGAGAGCGAGAATAGCGTTGGGGTTGCTGAGTTGTGTGAGCGGTTTTGATCTTAGCGTGGCGAGGCAAGCTTGGGCGACGATGGGGGTGCCTAGAATGAGAGAGTGTTCATGATCACGTGGTTAATGGGCACCATGGTGTCACTAACCTGTGCAGTGTTGCCTGATCGCCAGATGAAAATGATCAAAATTCGTAAAGTTTTTATTGCAATTATTAGACCTCTAAAAATCGCGAAACTTATTGTATATACTAAGTAGCCTATGAGCACTCCATTTCAAGAATAATCTGTGTCCTAGCCCCTTTGGCAGTGCCCATCTTCCAGTTTTTGCACGATTATCTCCAAATTTTAGGTGGGCACTTGCTCAGTATTTTACATTATGTTTAATTTTCTGCTTCAGTTACAAGGAGAGCTCAAGTTAGCAGATAAAATCAACGAATCTGTGTAATTGGTAATATATTCTTGTAATGAAATTTCCTCTTGTGCATGCATGGTAACATAGCAAGGATTGTGGCCAATAAATGTGCTGATTCGAGCATATTTCTAAATGCATAAATATTTTAACCAGAAGCCCCAGTCATTATTTATGCATTGGTCTACAGCTGGGGTCTCCAAACTTTTTGGCTAGGGGGCCAGATTGGGGACCTGTGGCAGTCTCGAGGACAGGAAAATATATAGTTCAGTATAAATGGGAAAATACGAAATAAATAAGCCTAAATGAGCATTTAAATACAGAAATCTGAAGTAGTGCAAAAATTTAAAAAAGTAAATGTAACGTGTATAAATACATATATTTTGCTTTTAAATATAATACTATGTTGCTAATTGTGACATTACAAAATAATTTTAACCCAGAGAACTCGCCAGGCATAAATCATAGTGCATAGGATGGTGGATCTGCTGATGACAATATGCAAGAGTTGTGACACGAGACACTAAGCCCAATAATCATGAGAACGCTAAGGAATTATATCATAGTTACACAGACATGAAGCAGAGAACTATGAATAATAATGCTGGGAATGACAATGTACAATATTATGGTGAGAGATCTTGCATTTTGTTGCAGTTTTTTCTCATTTTTTTCTATATCTTCGTTTGCGCTTTTAGCGTGCGTCACGTCGTGGTGCTATTGTTTTACACGCCCGCTTATTTTTGCGTTTGTAGCAGCGGGCTGCGAGCTGAGCGTCAGTGGAAAGACCGCGTCCATCTGCGGGCTAGGGTTGTGAGACCCCTGGTCTAGAGTTTGGCTATACCCTGTTCACCCCCAAACTGAGACTGCAGTGGAAGCTGCGTCCTTGTTGGACAAGTCATACGCCTCTTTTTCGCCACGTCATCACGCTCCCGACCATACCCACACGTGGAGAGCCGGTTCAGGTGATAAGAGGGAGGCGGTTGATTGGTCCGGGGGGAACGTAGCTCCCATCGTAGTCTCATCTTTAGGGTGAAGGGAGTATAGAGGAAAGCGTAATTGTCACATGCAGCACTGTGATGGTTGCAGTGACCTTGTTGCTTTGGCCACTTTGTTTCAAGCCAATTTCTTTCTTGCTCTAGGTGCATGCAATCTGTACACGGAGCAGAAGGCAATCCGGGTGAAAAAGGCGTACGACCGGCAAAAACTGTGAGTATGTGCTATTGAGATAGTGTGCCTTTTCTGACGCACGGGGCTGCTGTATGTGCTCAAATAACTGCCGCACTGTTTCTTAACGATGCCCGGGCGTCTGCTTTCCTGCAGAGCACGCATGTAACCATCATTGCAGTCTATGGAAGCAGCCTAGTGAACGACAAGGCACAGATAACATTCTTATATAAAAACCCTTGCACCGCGACATTGAGCACGGCGTTTGACACGCTCAATTTAGCGCAATGCCATTTTCAGGAACAAACACATTTTGGACTTGACCACTCGTAAGGCAATTTTCGTTTACCATAATCATTTGTTATTGGCTCGTAGAGGGGGTCGTCCTTTAAGGCTGGAACCTTCGTTGCTGAGGGGGTTTTGTTGAACCCTTTTAGAGAACTCTGAGCATTTCGCCTATCATACCTCTGGGATGCCTTTAGGACGGAGCTTTTGTTTGCATCCCCGTTGATGAGGTTGGGTTTTTTTGTTTTTTTTGTGTCCCTGTGACGTAAGCAGGGCCACTAAATTTGGGAGTCTGCAGCGGAGGCCCTCGCTGTAATGCAGGACGATAGGTCTTGCGAACAAACCAGATGCCTTCTCTCCGGCATCACGAGGCCCGCATGAGCTTTCTCACACAAAATGTTCTTGGTAGCAGCCCTTATTGCGAGCGAGGGGGTCATTGGCACCGAGTGGCTCGTGTAATGCCCACATTTTGTCTCGCTCAACTACGTTAGAAAATCTGTCAGCATCATCACTGTGGCTTTCTGCTCTTGACACTCTTGCTCATGTCACTTGCTGGTCACCTGGAGAACCAGCTGTGTGGCCAAGCAGTCCACGACTCCCGGGCGGTGACTGGGACATGAACGGCTCTTTTCTATTGGTGTAGCCAACAGGTTGGTTTATTTGCAACAACTTTGTGCGGGCAAAATGCGGGTATTACGCGAGCTCGCTCGTGTCGGCTGGGTTGGGGCACATACACCTGCCAAGCTCGCATCGAGAAGTAGCGAAACTTTGGCGGCCTTCGTCAATGTGCGAATCAAGCATCTCCGTGGTCACCGGCTGTCCGGACCCTTTTAACCCTTTCCCTACCATGGACGACCTGGGTTCGTTCACACTGTTTGTACCGGTCCCCCCAAAGACGAGCTGGGCTCATCAACGTTGATTCGGGCTCCATTACGCTAGCATGTACGAACTGGACTAGTCCACGTGTTTCTAGTTAGCGTTGCCGTGGATAGATGGCACGTCTCGGAAAATAAAAACATGGTAAATTTCTGAGTTTGGTGGAAAATTGTTCCAACGCAGGCAATAGGGGATTTAAAAATGGTGGCAACATCTTCTAGTCGCTGTGCTCATAGTGACGATCTTGCATCAAAATTGGGGCAAAAACGAAGATACTATTGTGACGTCTCTTCAGATTCGGAAGACGAGGAAATGAATTTTTCATCGGACAGCAAGAGCGATGCATCTGAGTTATTGGATTTTAGCTCAGATGACTTCGATTTCGATGAGGACATTGTGTCGGCGTGTAGGCATTGGACTAGCATCAAAGTAAAAAATCCCCCTCCTGCCCCACCTCGTTTTTCGTTCACTTTGCATGCAATGTGATGTGAACTGTCTGCGGCAATGCAGTGAAGCCAAACTTTAGTCCCCTTTTCTTTTGCAGTGCGTTCGAAGATCTCTCATACAATAAATTTTTTGACAATTTTTTGGCAATTTTTTGGCCTTTGTATTGCATACTAAATTTATGGGGCACATAAAAAAAAATTGGTATTTTCAAATAGTTTTTTTTTTCAGAATTTTTGTTGTAGGCAAAGTGTTCAACTGCCTATCAGTATCCCAAATCGTCAAGGGCGTCGGGCAATGTCTTTGATCGGTGGAAACCCCCGCGTCGCGGTAGAGTTCCCTTCCAGCAGTTTTTTCAGCAAGGGAGATGAGAAAGCACCATATTTTTAGTCACATTTTATTAATTTTTTTTTTTTTTTTTGTAGGGACGCGGGGCACATAGACAGTTTGTTTCGTTTCGTTTTCATTTTTGGCCAGAGTCTGGATGAATGTTTTGCCCTATTCAAACAAAGTCGGGATCCAGTTTAGTGCGCTTCCAAGGATTCCTTAGTCCAATCTTGGAGCCGGTCTTTAGCCTTTTTCCTCGACACGTGGTGCCTGGCCATTCCTCTCGCACGTGTGCAGGTCTCGCCTGGAGCCGGAGAGGAAGAAGGCGGCAGTGCACGATGCGGAGGGAGGTGGGGAGGAGGTTCCCTGGAGTCAGGCGGAGAACCCGCCCACAGCGGCACCTTACGGCGAGCTGCCCGACCTGTTCTCCTTCGACGGCTGGGATGAGAACATGGTCATCTCGTACGAGGAATTCCAGATGGTGAGCAGCCTCCCCTTGCTGCTGCTGGCCGGCTGACGCTTACCCCGCAAGTGTGCGTCCGCTGGGTAGGCCTGGCCCGGCCTCGGAGTCACCTTTTTGTTTTAACTTCAGTTAAAGGTCCCTGCGCACGGCAGCTTTCCGTGGCACAGACTAGAAGCTGCTGTGTGTAGGTGCTATGCTAGTGGTGTTTGCTGTGTTTCGAGGCATTTTTTTTCATCCACTTTTAGCTTAAAAGGTAGCAAAAGCTGGAAACCCTGGGGTGGCAGCCAACGTCTTGCTAAGAAGCTTAGCTTGTTTGGGCAGCGAAGAACTCTTAGCATGCAGGTTCTTAAACTGGGTTCTCCAGAGTGCCCTCAAGCTTTCCTCGAGGTCTCAAAACTCATTGCCCGTCTCCACCCCCGTGTAAAGCGTTTCTCTCGTTTAAGGTCTTTTAGACCTCAAACGAGAGACTTTAACTTTAAGATCTTTAAAATTTTAAAAGATCCGAGCCACCCACGGATGCATAGCTATTAGCCAATCACTCCCTGGTACCAATGGGAATTGTTTAGAGGGCTCGTAGGCTTCTGCTCTTCTTGAATGTATCCGTGCCGAGACCGGGAGAGGTTACTCGGCAGTCATTTGAGAGTGATCGAAGTTTTGGGATGGAAAAGTTTGAGAACCCATTGAGCGGAATGTCGGCTGTCAGTCTTAGGATTGCGGGAAATTCCTTTTCGATTCAAAGGGCTTGTAGCCATCTCACTTAATTTCTTCCTTACTGCACCCGTAGGCATTCGGTCAGATATGATGGATGGTTTCCCCACACTGCCGAAATTCACACTGCTGCACTGAGATACCCGGCTTTGTGTCGTGGTTAGCTGAAGAATTACCATGTTTTTTCGGTCTCTCTGATAGACGGTTCGGCCGTCTATCGGAAATCACGATCAAAAGTCTGATCGCCGTACATGTGGCAGTTGCACATTTTAAGTTTCCCGCCTAAGCGCCAAATCATGCACAGCCCGAGCGGTGCCGCTTTTTGTTGTCTTCTGAGAACTGTCAATGTTATATTTGCCCAGTGTTTTGCTTTGCTGGGGCTATTGGCAATTTCCAAACTAGACACTCCATGCATGCGAGATTGCCGCTTCGCGTGTTCATTGCTCTGATAATAGTGGCGATCAGAGTGCCGGCTCTTCCGATACAGGCTGTTCACTGTGAATTTAATCGAAAGGATGAGAGCTCATCAGCCGATGAAGAAGCTCCGTGAAGTATGTACCTCCAGTTCAGAAAATGGAGACCGCCGGTATGTCTCACCCTGCCTGCCTTGTTTCGACGTCACTGTGTGTCGACATGGTGAGAGAGCAGACTGGAAAAGCACCAGGGTAAAGTGTCCTGTCATGCCTGTCATGCATCACTGCCACTGGGAGGGCTCTCACTCCCCAAAGCAAAAGGGGGGGGGGGCAACCTCTCACCCAGGAGTTGTTGCTGTTTGTCCACACGAAGCAGGCTTTCAGAAGTTGGAGATGCAATCGTTTGCCTCCAAGGTGTTGCACCTGACTGCCTCTGGCAGGGAGGTGTTATAGTGCCCGAGTCGGCTGTAGCCGCGTTGTAGCTGCGTCTGAACCTCTAGCAATGCAGCCGGCCTTTCTTTCCCATGCAAAGACCAACGGCTCCCTGCAGCTTGCCTCTAATGAAATCAGTCGAGGATTGCAGCAATCAGCTTCAGACAGTCGTGAATATCTTTTAGACTTTTGGAATTGGAAACAAACTTGCATATCTATTGCCTGCTTATACCTGCCCTCCACATGCCACTCTTTTTCGTAGCCATCTTTACTGCTGTTCAAAAAGATCTCAATGAATCAATTGATGCTTCTCTACCTTCACCTGGTCAATAGTAGTGCCATATTTTCCGGGCTATAGTCTGCAGGCTACACATCTTTAAAAGTGGAAAATTTAGGCTGTGTGGGACTTTCTACGCCTGCAGACTATACAGGAATTGTGTTTTTCAAGATCAGTCATTATGACGAGGCGTAACTGATTTTGTGAATGAAAAAATATTTTAATGATGATTTATGTATAATACAATCTTCGTTCGCTGAGAAAGCAGTCATTTGTCAAGGTATGAGAAGATATTCGTGTATGAGAAGATATTCGTGTCGACTAAGCACCAGGTCCGGACTCTGTACCAGGTGCGGACCATCTAAGCAAACATTTTTATTTTTGACCCCAAATTTGCTCGTGCAGACTATACACCAGGTGCGGACTATAGCCCAGAAAATACTCTGCAATTAAGATGTTAGGGGGGATTTTTCTTCTTTCAACTGCCATGTCTATATGGCTATACCCTGGGATGATTTTCTTTGGAAATGAAGTAAGAGCTAGAGACGTGATAGGCTGCGGTATAATGTGCATAAGTAAGGAGTGTTGTGACCAGGGTGTAAGATAGACAGGTGGGGAAACGGCCCATAGAAGCCTACCGCAGCGCCGTGACCGGATTGTGTACTCGTCTGCTTGCGGGTACCCCCGATTTGCGACTGATGGCGCTGCGGCGAGAAGAAAAAAAAAATCGGAATCGGATTTACATGGAACTCTATGGGAGAGTGCACAAAATCAACCGAGAGCACGACAGTCCTTCATTGAAAATCCATGAGAAACCATCTCCGTCAGTTTAGCCGGTCGCCACCGGCCGCCCACCTGGAGTGAGAGTTTGCGGTGCTCAGCATATATGGCGCCACAGAAAAAGAGAAAACCGAAGGGGACACAATTCGGTCGCTCATTTGGCTCTTGTTTCTCCACCTGTCTATCTTACACCCTGGTTGTGACCTTGGAAACTTCTGTTGAAGTGCCGAAACTGGTTTACTAAATAATTGCATGGTTATATACTGCCAATTAATCTGTCTGCAATTTAGCTTCCTTTTTTTTAATGCAAAAAACATCTATGTCGGTGTAAAATCAACTTTAAAAATACCACTGTCTGCTACTATTAGCCCCTCAACCCGGCACCGAGCGCAAGATGAACGTGATTTGTATTAGAACATTTTTTATTTCTAGAATGTTATCTAGTATATGACCCATACCTTAAGAGAGCACCCAAAGGTATGCTTAGTTGCTTACAATTGTTTGGTAAATGCACATGTGCTTTTGTAGCACTCACTTCTTCATGCAGGAACTTCCATAGTGCAGTTCCACTCTCTGCCAGTTTGTGGTGAATGCACACAGCCCTCCAAAGTTTATCTTATTGGTTTGTTTGCAGTGCCACATTTTTTTTTTGCTAAACAGTCACTGACAGGATGAGGGCATCTGGCTATACTCTAACTTGCATTCTACCACTGTTTATAGAGCTCAATTGTCTCATGTCACAACCAGTAGAAAAACACAATCAAGTAACCTTAAAAAGCAATAAAAACAAACCTGTATTCTCCACCAAACAAATAGGATTTTTGATTTGAAGCATACCCTAGAAAAGTGAAGGGTCCATAACATATTGCTGCGCTCAGGACCGAGCAAGCAAAGCTCGGTCACCCACTTCTAGAAGATTCATGTTTATTCTTACTTGGGGCATAACTTTTATCATTTCATCTTTGTTTCTTGTTCTCAAAAGTGCATGGCCAAGCGTTGCTTGCTCGGTCACGAATCTTCTAGAAGTGCGTGACCGAGTGTTGCTTGCTTGGCCCTGAGTGCAGCAATATCAGCCTTATTCAATTAATAACTTGCAATTTGTTTTGTATCAACTGTTTTTTTTTTATATCTGTCCATTTGCCTCTTTGTTTCAGTTTGAACAAGAGAACAAGAAGCTGTACGAAGAACTGAATGCTCTCTCGGATGAAGTCAGGTAACTGGTTTGCTGGTGCTATCCTTCTGTGTGTTCTTAAGCTGGTGCAATGTTTTCCAGGAATATTGAGGGGAGAGTGATCGAGATTTCCCAGCTTCAGAAGGTGTTCACTGAAAAAGTGCTGGAGCAAGTAAGTGTGCTTCCTATGCCTGGTGTCCAATGATGTGGGTTAGGCGTGCAATCACACAGCAAGGATGGGGGGCTTTGAGAAGACAACCAGTTAAAAACAAAGTAAGAAAAAGTTATAATTTGTTTTTAAATTTAGGTAAGTCAAGATTAATTTGATTTAAATCAGATTTATTTGATTTAGATAAGATGATTTAAACCAGATTAATTTGGTTTAAAGGGGCACTGACACCCCAAAGGTCGTATTATTTTTTACTGTCTAAAACGATGCAAGTTGTAGTCATAGACACGCAAAAAAAAATGCATCGCAAAAAAAAATTTTCTTGCGCGCGCGTGCGCCTTTTTATTTTTGGCGTTTATATTTCCCGCGCTCACCTCCTTGCTTCTTTTGATCGGTGACGTCAAAAATCAGGAAATTTAGAAGCTTTGTAGGCGACATTTCTATAACATTTAATAACGGCAATCGTAAAACATGTTTTTTAACGCAATGACGAACGCACTACGCCCTTTCTTTTTGAAATACCAAAAATCAGATTTTGGTGTGATGCCGCTTCCTGAATTTGTGTTCTCCCTCGGACAACTTGGCGGCGCTCGAGCAGAGGCTTATCGCCGAGTCGGGGAAGAAACCGTTTTTTTCCCCGCGCCGGCCTCCTTCTATCCCGCCTGCTCACCTCCTCCTCTCTTCGGGTCGCGGTAGCAACGGCGCTTTGCTTCACAGCGTGGTGCGGAGGTCCGAAAGAAAGTCGAGTTGCAGGAGACCGCAAAATTTGACTCACTGCACTGGCGCGGATCGCGCGGGAACTTCAAATTCGGCATTTGGAAATTGTTTTTTTAATTCACAAATACTGAATTTCCAAGTTTCGAATTTTGAGGGTAATGTCCCGGCATCATTTTCAATCGTTTAGGATAATAAAATAAATTACGATTTTGATATGTCAGTGCCCCTTTAAATCACTGTAGCTAAAAAAAATGTTAATTGTTTATCCCTAGATGCCTTTTTAAACATGGCAGATTAATTGATCAATCCATCAGATTATTGAGAGCAATGTGGACAAAAGAACTACTGTACATTTCAAGTACACTTTAACAACTTTTTTATTGATGTAAATTCCACCATACTACAGTAAAAGCAGCTTGACTTTTTTTTTAGTTAGTATGAAGCTTTAATAGCATTTTTTGACATGTTGATTTGCTCACAATGTGGCATCACTTCGCTTGTTTTTGTTTCTTTCTTTCGTGTTATGATTCGCTTGTTATAAAACACCATGTAACTTATGAACGAAATGGAAAGTAGAAAGAACGGTCAACATTCTGATTTGTGCAGAAGAGCTCTGCTTTTCGCTCGTGTTCAGCCTGCTACAGTCTTTCTTCCTCTATGATTATTTGATTGAGATACAAAACAAATGCACATACAGTCTAAGCTCGTTATAACAGACCTTGATTTTGACCAAGATTTCGGTCTGTTGTAAGTGGAGTATGTTGTATGCAGATATGAAGTTGAGTCAATGGTATGTAGAGGAAAGCCAACCGAACTGCACAAAGTGGTACTATGTTATATCCAAATGTTTGTTGTAACCAGGTCTGTTGTAATGAGTTTAGACTGTAGAGAGCATAAAATGAGGGACAAGCTGGAATTAAAATAAATACTTGGGAATAAACTTCTAAAAATCACTGCATGCAACACTAGCAACACTGCGCGAGCGTTGCATGTTGGCAACTAGTTGGCCAGGAGTGGGCGAAGTGGTGGACCATATGGTTTGGTTTGGGTCAACGCATCGATGCATGCGGCACCGACGGCGAACCGTGCACAACCTTCCGATTATATTGCATCCTGATGCAGTAAGTGCCCCTTTCAGTACTCAGTACCAAGCTTTGCGGTGTAAATGATCTGACTACCGGGGTTACGGCGTTACAGTGGTTTCAGTACTAAATTCAAAGAACAAAGTCTGCCTCGGAACCGATCGAAATCTTCTTTTCACATGGGGATCAGCGCTTTTAGCATTTGTGCGCGTACGTGGCAACAACGTACACTTGTGCCGAAATGTTTTCCTCTGACGAAATCTCCTATCTTGCAACCTGCAGTGGAGCTTTTCTGTAAAACTTAGGTTGACACTGTAGCGGCCGCTTATGATCTCCCAAGCAGTGTGCAAACAGCCATGATTGATAGGATGGTGCGAACACAATCGCGTTTTCTGTTGCATTGCAAATCTATATTTAAACCTCGTAGTGCAAGCACTTGCAAACAATAAATAAATAAATAAATAACTTAATAGTGAGTTTCAGATCGTTTTCAGAGGCCCCCTATTGCTCCGGGCGCACGCTTCAGAGCATGCTTCGAAGTGGCAATGCGAGCTCCAGCTGCACATAGCGTTGCCTGAAAACACGATCAACTAAAGCTTCCTATTATGCATTGCGAATTTATACTTTGTGTCATCTTGAGGAAAAACATAAACCTGAATTTCAAATAAAAAAGAAAAATACATTTTTCAAATTTGAGGTTTTCGGTTTTAGAAACTACCATTATACACCCTTGCACTAAATTTCACAACCATAAGCCAAATAGTTACATTGATATGAAATATTTTCAACACATTGTGAGGCAGTAACGAAATGAAGAAGTTTAATGTTTGAATGCATTTTTCTCAGTTCCATTTTATACCACGAATTTCATACGAAGGAATTTTTTGTTCGAAAGTAAAAGTATTCTGATACCACAATCAAGATGTTTCTTAATTGAAATTTAGTGGGGAATCGAGCTGTCTACTTTATTTTGTTTTAGTAGAAATCCTCATAGAGAAAAAAAATGTTTTCAAATATTGACATAGGACAGATGTGCATCTCATATTTTGAGGTAATAACTCTTCCTGAAATATTTACATTTGAGTTATAAAAACAAGATAGCCCGAGGTCCCACATCTGCCACTTTATATTCAAGCAGTCAAAATGGTGCTTAATAGCTTCATTTGTATATAATAGATTTCTTAACAAAGAGTGACACATCTTTTTATTCAGGTATGTAAAATTGTCCCAGAAAGCTGAAAGTTTGCACAATACACATTCATCTGATGTTCAATCTCCCTTTCAAACTTTATTCCGATCACTTTAGTAGTTCAGAAGCTAAACATCTAGCCAGTGTCCCCTCTTAACGTGGGTAAGCGCAAAGGCTACGAGTGTGTGCTCCTTGAGTTGAACGGCGGCTCGGCTCCACGAGTGCTCGAGCAGCTGGGCCACCTGTCAATGCTATCCACTCGCGCTCGTAGCTTTTGCGCTTAGACCATGTTAAGATAGTGAGTTCTAATAGACCGTCTTCAGAGGCCCGCTACCACTCCGGGCGTGCGCTTCAGAGCATGCTTCGAAGTGGCAGCGCGAGCTCCTGCAATAGCGCTAGCTCCTACAGATAGCGTTGCCTAAAAACACGATCTACTAAAACTCTCTAGTGACGCTAAGTACAGACGAGACCGGCAAGTAATTAAAATAAAAGTTTAAAATAAAACAAAAAGAATGCCACCCCCACGAGGATTGCAGTTGTATGCATCCAGTTTGCTGTAGGCTGCATAATTTCAGTAGTCTGGAGTGGGCGGCTTATAGCGACTCACTACCCATTCAAAAGTAACACACCTAAAAATAAATTGAAAAAAAAAAAAGGAATAAAAGAACCCAGCCGATGCTATGCAGCCATCTGCGATGTTTAGCATGCATCACTAAGTCGTGATTTTCAGCACACCGGCACAACATACAATAAGCATGTAGTCCAGCTTTCCTTCCACTTTTCGATGTCCAGCATGTGATCAGACTCTGATCAGCACATTCTGAAAATGCGTACATGTACATGCATTAGTATTTGTGCGATGCAATGAGGAAACATACCGAGACGACGCAACGACGCCAATGACCCTACACACGGCCCCACCACCCCACATGTCCAACAATGGAAACCGAAACTCCATGGCCAACTAGTTCCCTGCATGCATTGCGTGGACTTTGCCACGGTGAGTTACTTTGTGTTTGGGAAGAAGTTTATTATTATCAAGGGCAAGGTTTGATTTAAATCATCACTGTAAAACTGGTGTGATTTAAATAATGATTTAAATTGCGATTGAAATCATCTTGATTTTTATTTTCCATCCTGGTTAAGGAACACTCTGTCTCTATTCTGTTGCACGTTACGGTGGATCACAGTGGATAGTACATGCCGTCTCAGCCAATTCAATGCTGTGAATGTATCATGTGACTACGTAGGTTGTGTGACGCTGCATTGGATTGGCTCTGATGGCTCGTAGCGTCCACTGCAGTCCACGTCGCTTCCACTCCACTTCGCATCATAAGGCAAAGTGGAGTTTAGGCTCGAGATGGAATTCGAGTCTTGTTTTTGTCCACTGGCTAACACAGTGCTGAGATTGGCAGCATTTGATGAAAAAAATGGTAGAGCAAAAACTATGATGCCTCGCTTATGGCATTATATAGTAAGTTGTATGTTTGTTTCAGCTATTTCTGCATAATCTGCTATGAAATCAGTATTTTCTTTTTCCCTGTTTTTAATCGATTAGAGCTTTTATAGATGCATTTTATAGTGATAGTTTTTAAATACTTCTCAATTTTTGCACTGTTCAATAGCCACAGCATGCATTGGCTTCTACTCTCTTTTCACTAAGGATGAAGAGATGGAGAGAATTGCACATACGCTCGGAGGTGCAACTGAAAACGTCAAGGATGGCAACGAGGAGTTGCGACAGGTATGGAAGCCTAGATCCACCTATGCATCTCAATTGTGGCACGGCTGTTCTGTTTATACAGGTGTTTTTTTTTTGTTGTTTTTTTAAGCTTAAAGGGGGTTTTGACATGCTAAAAATAAAATATGAGATAACTATACTGCTAGGACCCATTGTATGTTCCTATCATCCTGCTAAATTTGTTTTGAAAATAGCGCAAAAGTTTTGTGGATAAATCGATTTATATGCGAACTCCCTCGGAGGGGCAGACCCGGGCGGAGCTGGGGGGAGGCTTGCTACGTAGCCAGCCTCCAGCGCTGTGTCTCCTTGCACGCACTCACAGACCTGGCTTTCTTGGCGTCTCAAGCTTCAGCTTCCTTGTTTACCTTCCACGTTTCGAGCATGTGGTCTGTTATGATTGCGTCTACGGCATCGCTCGCCTTGTCAAAGTGTTCGACATTGATCGCAGCAGCGATGAGAGTGATTGCTATCAAGAGATGTTGGAAGCTGTTCATTCTGACTGCGACCCGCTGGCGACCAGCTCCAGCGACAATGATAAGGACAAACTCGCCGTGGTCATCGTCGTCCGGGAATATCTCGCAAGCGCATGCAGGGTGGAAGGTCAACGGGCCGGGGGCGAGAGCGAGAATAGCTTTCGGGTTGCCGAGTTGCGGGAGCGGTTTTGATTGTACCGCTAGTACCGCGGCGATGAGAGCTTTGGCGAACATGGGGGCGCCTAGAATGAGAGAGTATTCAAGGTCACGTGGTTTATGGACACCATGGTGGGACTAACTTCAGCAGTGTTGCCTGGTTGCCAGATGAAAATGATAAAAATTCGTAAATTGAATATTGCAATTACTAGAGCTCTGAAAATCGAGTAACTTGGTGTATATACTAAGTAGCCTATAAGTATTCCATTTCAAGAATAATCTATCTGTTTAATTTTCCTGTCATAACCCATTTAAAGGGCAACTTTACTCAAAAGGTCGACCCCATAGAAATGGCTCATATCACTTTAGTTGGTCTAAATACGATGATACCCAAAATATCACGTCCAACCGACGCCACATTCCCGATTAAAACCAATATTAAAAATGTTCTACCGGCTGGGTTAGCAGCCCGACAGTGGGTGAGCAATGCTGGCACCGGGTGAGCTAGTGAAGCAACACTGAGCAATGATGTAGGTTTCGTCCTATGCTCTCGTATGGACGCCGCAAACGCTTTGTTTCCTGTAGTATTCTTCAATTCTGCTGACGGCAAGAGGTGCTTGCCGCGTTATCCTGTGTTCCTCTATTTTTATTTGCGTCCTGGCAGTTCATTTAACTCCAGTATAGCTTCTGCGACTGCGTTGAAGAGAGCGAATCGGTGCTGCTCGCTCACGCACATTGCGGAGCCGGAGAGACTTGCCAGACTCACGTTGGGCAATGCCGAGCACGACTTGTAGTGCTGTGGGTTGCACCAGCAATTTGGTACGCAACCAGGAGCTGCGGTTCTACCAGTTCCCAAGAGACCGGAAGAGGCACAAGATGTGAGTCGGTGTCATTTACCGAATAGACTTCGAAAGACCGTCGACTACTCTATCGCGAAGCTCTGCTCCTAGCGCTTTACGCCAGACACCTACACACTGGATCTGCAACCGTTGACTGCTGCGAGTTTCTCCGTGAAACATGCGTCTTTGAAGAACGACGCGGTGCCGTCGCTGTACGCATATGTTATCCGCCGGCTACCCCAGCACGAGCGGCTGGTCTCAGCGGGTCGCAGCAGATCTAACTAACGTACGCATAAACGCACCTTAGCTTTAAAGGGCAACTCCGCTTCTTTTCCAGTAGTGCAAAACTATACTGTTCTCTTTCTTATCATCCACAAAACCCCCATGGCAATTATTACGACGGAATTCCGCCTAGAAGTTCATTAAAATCGCTGTCAAAGTTTGACAAGCACGAATCCGCTGGTTTTGGATGAGACGTGCGGGCCAGACAACACTGCCCGGCTGCATTTCCGCTTCCTCCAAATTCCTTCTCCCGGCACGTCCGCGACGTCATCAAGCATGTACAGCTTCTTTTTTTTTTTTCTTTTTTTTTTTTTCAATTTTTTTTTTTTTCTTGGGGAGAGCATGGGTGGCGCCAGCACCGTGAAAGACGTGAGTGACACGCTCGACCGGCCTGGCGCTCGACTATTGATACTACTGATAAGCCGATCGCCTCGTTGAGCGAGCCTTGTGTTACATCGCAAACTTTTGAACACCAAGTAAAAGGAGGAGAGGGAAGCTGCTTTTGTAAGAATTTTGAGTGACAGGTTAATCTTCTATAATCTTCTGGGAGGAGAATAGCGACGTCTGTGCTAATCCAGGAGGCACAAAGGAGGATCCTGATAAGAGGGGAGCTCCTTCTTCCCCTTGCATATCACGTGGGTGTACATGCTTAGTGATGCCGAATATACAATGTTGTCCGGCTTTGCCACCGTTTCGGTTTCGGTTTGTGATCCTGGCTAGAGTAAAATTACTCAAAAAATATTTTATTTTTCGCGAAACAAAGGATTGGGGATTGTTTTTGAGTGCTGCAAAAAGCAAAATCGGCCACTGTCTCAAAATTTTTGAAATTAAGCGGAGTTGCCCTTTAAAGGGGCCATGCAACAATGTTTGGACTTCGGCCAAATAATTGTGGTATTTGTTCCCTGTCGCGTCTGGATTAAAGAACTGAAAACAAATTTTGCCTATAGCGTTTGTTCTTTAGAAGAAAAAAAAAGTCAAACGGTTGACGTTTTGGTCACCTCCAAGCCACCCTCAACTCGTACACCGTCTTCCGAGTCACTTGCGCAGTGACCCGCAATGGGGATGGGAAAGGACCGGTTGGGTTCTCTTTCAAAGCCCCCAGCACGCACGGCTTCTGCTTGAGATTCGCATGGCGACCTTGAAAGTTTGTCTGAGCGATGTGGAGAAGGGGAGAGGGGGGAGAGGAAGAGCATGGAGCTTGGCTTTATGTAAGGAAGTTGGACTGACGTAGTAGCATAATGAGGTGAGGCTCCAGGGAGGAATAGTTGCTTTCACCTCGGGCAGATGGCGCCACTAAAACTGAATACAGTACAACTTTGTTGATGACATGAGGTTTTTGACCTATTTACTCATGTTGAAACTACAATATTTATAAATATGTAGGGTTGTTCGTTTTTGGGTAAAACTCGATTTTACCTTATTTTTACACCCCGAACATGTTTCAGCAGAATCGGGTTAAACCCGATTTTTCCCCGAATTCCAAAACCACATAACCAACTTATTTATTTTTATGCCGTACGGAGTTTGCGGTGCACACACGCTAGCTACCCTACCTCGGGACAACAGTGACCTACAGTTCATTCCGCAAGCTGCGTGCAGCACTGTGGACGCTACACGGCTCTCAACCAACCGCCTTGCTCATCGTGACATTCTACGGGGGCAGGCTAAGAAAAGCGACAATAAGCATTGGGGCCTCGAAGGAACATTTCCGTCCACCCGCTGTGCACGCAGTCTGAACAGCCTCGGCACGGCCACGTAGCTTCGGCCCTGCTGCACGCAGCTTGTGGAATGCACTATCAATCCCCCTCCGACTGCTGTTAGGTGTCGATGCCCAGCCTGGTCTCTCGGGTAGCATGGCATCTCGCTGGCGTCAAACCTTTCTCACGAACGACGTCCGAGCCAGTCAGTCGCGTAAACAGATCGAGAAAACTTAACACGCTTTTTCCATAGCAAAGTTTCTGATCGAAGACGACTGTCCCTCGAACGGCCAGCGTTTTTGTTGACACCTAAGGGAAGGGAGGATTCCGTTGGCGGTGCTTCCCTTGAAGCAGGGATGGGCAGTATTTCAAATACAAGTATTTAAGATACGTATTTCAAATACATTGTGTATTTTGCATTTGTATTTAATTACAAATTGGGTAATGTATTTGACGTGTGTATTTAAATACTAAAACGTCGGTATTTCAAATACAATTGTAATTAAATACAATTTTGTGAGCAAAAATACATCCCTCAAATTTATTATCACTGTCCAGAGCAGGAAGAAAACTACGTTCTGCACCGAATGCAGTGTCTCTCAATCAAGCACAAGCGTTTAGTGACTTTGTGATTACGGTGCTAGTTCAGGGCAAGAATAGTGACGAGATCGACGTTCACAGGCAGACTCGCTAAATAAGTGCCTGTGACAACTTGTGATGCTTTCCAGCCTGATTTCCATCCATATTTTTGCCTGGAACATTCTAAAAGCGCGGGTCGTCCAGATTTTTGTAACTGGTGCGAGTTGCAACAATAAAAAATTCTCTAGCTAGTGCTGTGCGTCTTGGTCGTTTCGGTCCTTTGTTGGTCTATACCAAAATGCAATCGACAAAAAAAGCTGCTTGAAGCTCTGTATTTTTTTTACCTATTACGTCCAAGCTGATTACATTTTTTGGGGATTATATTTCTGTTGAGCCTTGCACACTAACTCCCGAGTGTGCGATGCAAAATTAAAATCGGAGACCCAGAAACCTGTTGCAAGTGCCCTGAAGTCGCTGACGCAAGTTTTGAGGAATGTATTTGGAAAAGTATTTGGAGGAGACCAAATACATTGGGTTGTATTTGTATCTTGTACTTAAATGCTTTTTTGGAAATGTAATTAGATTTGTAATTAAATACATTTTTGACAAAGTATGCTGTATTTGTATTTCGACACATATTTGCGTGTATTTTGCCCATTTATGCTTTGAAGCGACCGACGGAAATCAAAGCTGGAAAACCCTGATGTCCCCTCGATTACCACCTTGAAACAGACCCATAATTTTAACGCATTAGCGTTAAAAAGCTCGTAATGCGGCCCGAGAAAAAAAAAAATGAATGTATTATTGAGTACATTTGTAAATTTAACCCGAAAAAAACCGAATTTTGTAACGTTTCCACAAACACCCGATTTCTCCCTGATTATCAGCTTGAAAAATAGCACCCGGTTTTTACCCCCCGAATTAAAAAGAAAATAAAACCCGAAAACGAACAACCCTATAAATATGGCATTAGGTTGAGCCCATAACGGCACATCTTGAAAACTTGTTACATTATACCCATTGCTTGTCACGCTTTAGTTCCCGTGGCCGCCACTGCGCAGCTGCGAATCGCGAAATATTCCCGTTCTTTTCTTTGCTATTACGCAGCAGAATCGCGCAAGAGAATGAGGTGGTTTCTCCGTTTTTTTTGGTAAGATGAACAATGTAAAAAATTTTAAACTGCAAATTCTTTCGAAGTTAAAGGGGCGGTGCAATGATTTTAACACTGAACGAATGTGCAGCTTGTATTTTTTATATTGTTTACTTCGGCATAAGTAAGAAAAAAAGTGCCACCATACCCCAAAATACCTCTATTTCGCTGCGTAATCACAAAATAAAAAACACTTTTTTTCCCAACCTGCGGCCACATGGTGGCCGCAAATGGAACCTGTGGTGTGACGTCATTCGGAGTGGTTTTTGTAAGTGATAGTGTTAGGCAATTGTAAGCTTGATTTAAGGTTAAGTTTAAAAAATCTTGTTGTTTAGGCATGCAGAAACGCTTCAAAAGCCCAATATTGCCGCTAAAAGGGTATGAATTATTTGTGGCGCCATCTACCACAAGTCAACAGAACCTGCCGTCGCCGTCATCCGTCGACGCCCGTGGCGCCTACGGCGGCTACACGAGCAACCCGGACGTTTTGTCTTTCCCTCGCTCGACGGGGTGCGTTGGTCGTGGTCTGTAGTATCTTGGTATCGTTATTGTCCCTGGTCTCTCGACCTCGACTTTGACTTCGACTGCCCGCCGCACCGCCATGTTGGTCGGGAATCGACGGGAGAGCGGGAGAGCGGCGAGCCTGGCGAGCTGGCGAGCGCTGGGGAAACGGAAGCCAGAAGCACCCAACCGGAAACCAACGCCACTCCGAATGACGTCACAGGTGAAGCTGGTGCCGCTTCAATGTTGAGTTGAGGGGTGCCGGAGATACCGATTTCTTTTATTTTTTTTAATGAAAACTGGGGCAAGTAGGAAAGAATAGTTTTCGGTCCTTCGTTTTATATGTGGCCGGGATCAATTCCCGCAATTAATTAGCCAAAGTCCGCAAATTGTTGCACCGCCCCTTTAAAATTGTTGTACTGCCCCTTTAACAACTTAGGCCGCTTGTGGGTTCCAACTGTCCATCTATCTGCCATTATTTTTTTCTTTTGGTCCACGAGCAATAAACAGATACAATCACACTGCGTTGGCACTGACCGCGTCATATTTATAACAGTCGGATTTGTTTTTTGACCGGCATAAATACTGTATTTACTAGAGTAATAGCTGCACTATTTATGAACAAGGCCCTCGTGTCTACTTTTCTGCAAAGCACACGTACAGCCACTCATCGCGTTGCGCGTAAATAACATAGCGAATAGCTAGATTGAGAACATGAGTCTCCATACAAACGCAATCTTCACAGATGGTATCTTCGCACGAAGACGTTATCTCTGTCCTGTAACCGCTGGAATCATGCTGTCGATCGCTGTGATTGGCAATCTGCGTGCTCCACAGAAAAGCGAACTCTCAGGTTTTCTTCATAAACAGTGTGGCTATTACTCGAGTAAATACGGTACACACTAAGGCTCGGGTAAATACGGTACACGCACTACATTTGGTGCATATTTACAAAGTGCAGCGGTAAAATGAAAAGGTGCAACTTACCTTCTGTTTTGAAAGTCCACGTGCGACTGAGTCGGTCGTGTCGTTGCTTCGACTCAGAAGCGCAAAATGAGATTACGTTGTGCCGTCGATTTGCGGCCAATTACCAGTGTTGTCAAACTGCTTCAGCAGGTAGTTTCAGTTTTGCTGTGCCGCTGGAACGAAACTTGGATAAGCGATATCTGCAAAACTATACACGCTTCCAAAAAACAAATTATATCTTGTAATTCAGGGTCGCCGACTTCGCCTAAACAGATCATAACCCAAAAATCGTAAAAATGGAGCGGAGTTGCCCTTTAACAGATTTGCTTAAAAAGAGCCGTGAAAGGAACACTTAAGCGGTCTGTGCAGGCAAGTTGTACGCCTAAGGGGACATGGTAGAGGGGTAATCGTAACGATCAGTGGGCTTATTAGCTCAGAATGTGGAAAGTTGGCGTGGTGGCGCTGCGATGGAGGTGGCTTGGTTCGCCTGGATTTTCGTCGTGACGTCGTAGTGTGTCAAGGACGATGCTGTTATGCAAAAATAAGTCACCGTTGTAAGGTGGTTGTGACATTGCGTCGCATTGAGGACGACGCCGTTGTGCGACATCAAGTCGTTGTTGTAACGCAGTTGTAGCGTCGTGCCGAGGACGACATCAATGTTAACGTCGACGCCCCACGCAACGTCAAACGTCGCTACGATGTCACATTAACATCGTCGCGTAACGTCGTCATCACTTTAACATAGTTTTTAAGACGTCACGTTAACGTCGTCCTGACATTGCGTGATGTTGACGTCAGTGCAAGTCACAACGACGTCACGATGAAGCCTTGACGTCGTGTAACGTCGTTGCCTTCGCCAACATCATTGTCGACACGCCTTCACGACGAAGTCTTGAGAGCATGTAACATTGTCGTCGACATTGTGAAGCTGTCGGGATGTCATCGTGACTTCAAGTTGCATCATGTCGACAACAACGTTGACGACCTGACGCCAAGCATCTTTATGACATCGCATTGACGACAAAAATGTCGTTGTCAACATAACGTTGACATCGACGTCATTGTCAACGCGATACGACGTCAGAACGCAGTCTTGATGTTGTGTAACGCGAGTTGTCAATGTAGATGACGACGTTGTCGTCAAGGCGTTGTCGTGATGTCACATGGCGTTGTGACGACACGTCAAGTCACGGTGACGTTTTGTATTGACGAGACGCGTGATGTGTAGGTTATATAAAATATATAGCTCGGGGGCTCTATTGTTCCTATAATCTTGACACCGGTCGAGTGTGACATTTGAATGCAACGCCTTTTTCATAAAGAAACTGTTTATAAAATACATTATGGTGCTAAAAAGTATCTGCACGTTTCGTCAAGAGCTTATATTGCAGCTCTTGTTTACTCCTTGTTTATGCAAATCCAAGCCACTTCGCTCGTAGCTCCCTCTAATAATTTTTCCACATGCGGGGCTTCAGAAATAGCACTCCGGTGGCCCACTCATCCTTTCTAGTTCACTCTACTCTCGGTATCGACATGTGAATGGGTGAGCACATTCTTCTGCCGCGACCTATTATTGTCGTTGGCAAGTTGTTGTCAACAACGCTGTTTTTATTCGTTCTAGCCGCCTTCATTCAGTGTGCCTGCAATCGAATAAGCGCACAGATGTTTCTTTTTTGGTCTGTGCGGTTTCTGTTTAGTTTTTGTACATTCCAAATAAAAGGTTTAGTATTCAGTGTTCGATTGAGACTTATATTCGGCGCCATTCGATTCTAATTTGATTCGACTTGAAATTTCACTATTTGCACACAGCTACTTTTGTTCTGTTTGACCTGTGTTATTACATGATGTGTATTGGGATCAGTTTGCAAAATTTTTTTTTTTCTTTGCTATTTTACATGATTTTTTTTTATGGTGCGTGGCTCAAATCGAAAACTCATTTCATGGTTCTTGTATTTTTTTGCAGGCCATGAAGAACAATGCTGGCTTCCGGATTTATCTTCTGTTCTTCCTCTTGGTGTTATCATTTTCGTTGCTCTTCTTGGACTGGTATAACCCATAGGCCTTGCTTTTCTTATATCTTTGCACATAAAAAAAAAAAAGAAAAAAAAAGCTCACCTAACATTAAAAAAAAAACGAATTTCAAAAACAAAGTTTTTTGTTGAAGTGAATTTATTGCTTGTGGGTGCTACGATGTCAGTGTTGCAGCATTTTTTGTGAATCGTGGCTGTCAGCCGCATTGGGTTGCTTTCGTCCTGATAGCCAGTGGTGCACACTGCAATAATATGTCTCTATTTTGAAGGAATTGCGATGTGCCTTACAGGGTCTCAAACTGAGAATAATAATAGTTTGGTTACGGTTGGGGCTATCGGTATTTTTATGAAATAGGTTTCATTTCAGTTTTTGCAGTTTTGGATTTATATTGTAGTTAGCGGTTACAAGCGTAACGTTGCTGGGTACCAAAAAGGACGCTACTCTAAATTTAAACTATGTTACCTCACAAAAATTTGTTTTTTTGAGTCTTTCGTAAAATACCGTGGAAGCGCCCACTTCATTCAAGCACCAACCATTAACATTTCCCGAACTTGGAAATTCTGCAAATTATAGGACTTTTCTGTGTACTCTCGTCCCCAGCCACCGAATAGGCGTATCGGGTATCTGCGACGAAAAAATACTAAAACGTTTCAACCTGCAACTAGTAAAAAAATAAGGGGGAGGCAAAACGATAATGTGTGACGGTTACGCTTATGTCCTAAGTGTCTTCTACTGGCGTGGCGACAGCAAAATAATGTTTTCGTCCATACTGGAATTGACGACAATTCAACATGACGGCACCTTTGAAGAAAGGGTCTATTTGTTAAGTGCCCAATTTGACAGGGCAAGTACCCACGTCTAGATCAACCCAGTTTTCAGTGAAAGTGTGGGGGGGCAGGCGTGCGTGCGGGCGGCGCTTCCTTGGTTTTTTTAGGTAGATATATTTGTTTTCTAATATATGGTATCACGTAGCCCTGTTATCAAACATTGAATTGGTACAACTCAGAGTTACCGTAATTCAAGATTATGTTTCCCACTCTTGGTCATACATTTTTTTACCCTAAAGCTCTTGTACCTCATATATGTAATGGTTTTTTTTAAGAACATGCCACATCCGTGCAGAGAATCCTCCGCTTCTCAGTGGTACGAGAGGGCAGCTTTTGTAACAATCCTTTTAGAGGTGTCTTCCTTCTTTATTTTACTGTTGTTAGTCTAAGAAGTTGCATCATTGAAACATTTTGGAGTGCCAATGGTCACATACCATAAAAAGATTAGAGCTATCAGTGGTCAAGCTGAACTTCTGTATTGGTATTCGTTCGGCCTCAACAACGTGCTGACAACGTTCCTCGCCTCCAAATTCGCTGGGAAGTTGCCCTGAAAATGATGAAACACACCCACCAAGCTTCAGATTCTTTGGTCTTGGTAGCTCTATGTTGGTTTAACATCGTCGACGGTGTCTGTTTGTGCATAAAAACATGTGTCAGGCTTCGATTTGACTTGCTTATGATCGAAGCCTTGAAGTCGCTGAAGTCGTCGAGTATTATCCCTACCAGAGGTCTCTGACCACAGCTGAGCTAGCAGTGAGCTCGGGGTGCATGTGGCGCACGCATTATATTAACTTGGCAAATGCCTCAAGCTATGCCTCCAAGTAAGGCAGTAAGAGCATTGAAGCAAATGTTGCCATGTGCCTCACTGCTGCGTAGCTTGTGGTGTTTGCTGTATGGCACGTGCTCACTCCTCGCCCGTTTATAGCAGAGCCAAGAGACAACGAGCAAGAAGACGAAATTAACAGTTGGAGAGCGCCATTCATTTGTTCTACTTGTTGGTTGCTCCCTCGGTACTCCTATACTTTAGCTATCCTAGTCTCACGAACTAGCCCAAATATATTGCATCTTTTCATCAGTTACATTCATCAAGAATGTTGCACAGCATGTATACAAATGCTTCAAACCGACTTTAGACGGTCCACAGAAATCGGTTTCTAATGTATCGCGCTGCGATTTACTGCAGAGGTCTGGCTAGGTGATGGAAGCATGGAGTGAAAATATCAACAGATAAACTTGCCTCGTTCAGAAAAGCAAAAAGAAAAGCTGTTTCGGGCAATCTACGGCAGTATTTGCAGACGATGCCCTGAGCTGCTTGCTTAGTTGTATTTACCTTCGACAGTTGTCGGAAGCATCAAGGGTACAGAGCATGGAGGTAGGAAGCTTTTGGAAGTGACATCACGCTACCACAGGCAAAGCCGGGGGAAACTTCTGGTTTGGAGGGACGCCCCCAACGATGCCAAAAAACGATCAAAAAGGCTCGAGGTGCACCTAAGCACTTCTTATGAGTTGTGAATGCGAAAGCATGCATGTTGTTCCTCTGCTCCCTTATTTCGTCTGCGGCGTACTTGCGTCGACGGTCAAGCGCACGCGCTGTCCTAGCCGCGCTGACCTTGGACGTGGAGCCGTGGAGCACTGCCTCGCGGACATGCAGCGCCATGGGGTAGCGATTGTTGAAACTGATGCGCAGCAGCCACTGGGAGCTCGTTTCTTGAAACTATGACACGCGCCAGCCAATGGGACCGAAGCCGAAATCCATCAGATTTTGGCTTCACTTGGAGAAACGACTTTAGGTGCTATTTGGCACGGCTTCGAAGCTGGTGACGTTGGCGCACTCCATGGGGGAGCAAATGCTTTTGCATTAAAACTAAGACGCTATTGGACGGGCTTGGGCACCCTTGGATGCTACTGATCATGTGTGACGTCTCTGCTCCAAACAAACCGTGTCTGTAGTCCGTTCACCCCTAAGCTGAGACAGCGGTGGTACCTACGTCTTTGTTGGACCAGTCGTACACCTCTCTTTTGCCACGTCGTCGCGCTCCCGCCCATACCCACGCGTGAAGAGCCGGCTCGGGTGATAAGAGGGAGGCGGCTGATTGATCCAGCAGGCATGTAGCTCCCACCACAGTTTCAGCTTGGGTGTGCACAGAGTATTTGCGACTCCAACTGTCTACTAGTGGCACCAGTTGTTTTCCAAAATGGTGATTATGATTGATTGATTGATGATTAGGTGTTTAATGGCGCAAAAAATGGTGATTATAATGAGGGTTGGAGATGCGTGCTCACATACCAGTTGCTGGGCCCTGTCTAGTATGCTACCTTCACTGACTGACACAAATTATCTCCTCTTATACACCTTTCCAAAAAACGCTCCTAGGCCGCCGCCATGTTGCTGATGCTGATGCGGCTGGTACGACTCTCGCGCCCTCTATCAGCTAGAAGTTTTTTGCCACTCTCCGGGACTGTGAAGACCCGCTCAGCGCGGTTCTCTACATGCATTTTAGCTGTTTTGCATTCGACGTTTTTTCGGTCTCTTGAAAGTTTCCACTTCATTTTTTTTATGCGTGCTGCCTACCCTTCTTGTGTTATCTTCCATTGTGAGAAATAAGGCTGGTAAGTTCCTGTCATTCAAGCTTTTCTGCTCGACATTCACGGGAAACGAAGCAGGTGAAGGACGTCGAACGACCCTCGACGCGATTTTGCGAACATTGTTCTCCCCCCTCCCAGAGATAATCCGTGTAGAATCCTCAGACATCTCCAAAAATAGTTGCCCGGGTTGGGGTGAGAAACGGGTCAGTCGCGTTTGTTTCTTTGCCTTGTTGCGGTTGTGAAAAAGAGGAAGCTCTCCCCGAAACGTGCCCCAAACGAAGTCATCTCGGATTCCGTCCGATCGTCAAGATGTGACTGTCGTCGACTGTGACTGTGTTATTTGAGATCTTTCTCAAATAAATTCTTTTTGGATAACGCTGCGTCGTGTGGTATGTACGATATATTGTTCTAATGTTACCACTTCCTCAATTGTATGTCCGTGACCTGTCCATCGGTAAACACATTATTTGTAAGCGTGAAAAATGCATGCCTTTCGGCCGTCTTCTGTTGCAATTTATTTTTGACAGCAAAGCGCTTTGTCGCTTCACATGCGGCAAACCCCGCGGCGCCGTCAAAACTGATCGTAAGAAAAAAACAAATAACTAGAACTATACAGTCCAGTCGCACTCGTTCTGTCGCGCGCGTACCCAACAAAAACAGTTTACAGTTTTTTTTGTTTTTTTTTCAGTGTGGCACAATGCTTTCTCAATGCCCTCGGGAAAACACATGTACAATGAAACACAAAATATTGCCGGAAGAAACGAGAATTTAGCCGCCAGCAGCGCTTGAAACTGCGCCTACGCAGGCTGCGCCTATTGAAATCACAGTCCACTCGGTTAGGGTTAGGAGGGACACCGGTGAGAGTCTAGCCTCAAACTCAGTGACTGGGCTCGAAAGCGGTTTGTGACCCCTGGGGTCGAGTGTTTTTTGGAAAGGTGTATACCAGGAAGCTAAGGTGTTATGCGTGCAAGTCACCTCTTTATTCTGAAAACAAAACCGGTGTTTAGCGTAATACTTACGCCAGGAGGCACTTATCAATTCGGGAACGAAACGGAAACTTGCTTCTATTTTGGATTTAATATCTCGGTATAGGTGTTCATTTCGGTTTCTCTCCTACCTCAAGATGTGCCTCACAGCGTAATCATTATGCTAAAGAAATTGTTTGCGAAAACTTATTTTGTGACGGGCATGCGAGATCCAGCAGCTTAAAGGGGCGGTGCAATGATTTTAACACTGAACGAATGTGCAGCTTGTATTTTTTATATTGTTTACTTCGGCATAAGTAAGAGAAAAAGTGCCACCATACCCCAAAATAACTATATTTCGCTGCGTAATCGCAAAATAAAAAACCCTTTTTTTCCCAACCTGCGGCCACGTGGTGGCCGCAAATGGAACATGTGGTGTGACGTCATTCGGAGTGGTTTTTGTAAGTGATAGTGTGAGGCAATTGTAAGCTTGATTTAAGGTTAAGTTAAAAAAATCTTGATGTTTAGGCATGCAGAAACGCTTCAAAAGCCTAATATTGCCGCTAAAAGGGTATGAATTATTTGTGGCGCCATCTACCGCAAGTCAACAAAACCTGCCGTCGCCGTCATCCGTCGACGCCAGAGGCGCCTACGACGGCTACATGAGCAACCCGGACGTTTTGTGTTTCCCTCGCTCGACGGAGTGCGTTGGTCGTGGTCCGTAGTATCGTTATTGTTCCTGGTGTCTCGACTTCGACTGCCCGCCGCGTCGCAAGCATCTTGCGCTCGACGTCGCTCAGGCCGTCCGCCCATGCCGCCATGTTGGTCGGGAATCGGCGGGAGAGCGGCGAGCCCGGCGAGCCGGCGAGCGCTGGGGAAACGGAAGCCAGAAAAACCCAACCGGAAACCAACGCCACTCCGAATGACGTCACAGGCGAAGCTGGTGCCGCTTCAATGTTGAGTTGAGGGGTGCCAGAGATACCAATTTCTTTTATGTTTTTAATGAAAACTAGGGCAAGCAGGAAAGAATAGTTTTCGGTCCTTCGTTTTATATGTGGCCAGGATCAATTCCCGCAATTAATTAGCCAGTCCCCAAATTGTTGCACCGCCCCTTTAAAAATGTGGAGAGTTCAGTGTCCCTTTGAAGAGAGGGTCTTCCATACACCTTACAGGTAGCAGTATATTGCATTTGTTGAACATGTCAGCGCTGGTATTTGCGT